CTACATATGGTTGCCGTTGTTTTTGTTTTTTTAATTTAATTGACATAATTGAGATTAAGAACTCATATTTCTTATCTTGATATCCAAACTATCCAATGCCTTTGAATTTGGCGCATTGCCCTTACCGAGTGGATTGTTTTGAGCCTCGTATATTTAGCTACAAGATTTCGTAAGGCTTGAATTGATGATTTAATTGATGATTTGAGTCTATGAACTTTAAGCCTGGTTAATCTGATTAGTTTGAAATTTTCTTACCTTTGATTCAATTTTATATCAATAAAAATTGATCTTGTTGTAAAAGAAGGATGAATGAAACAAAGGGATAAGGAAAAAAGTTTATGGCTACTCCAATTATGCACTTTGCTATAGATGAAAAAGATATACTGATTTGGGTTTTGATTGTTGGTTGTTGTTTACGCGCATGGGCATCAAAAAAAAAAAAAAAGCTATCAAAATTTTGGTTCATATGAATTTTAGGGAAGAAGAAGGGCGTGGCCAGAGGATGAAGAAGATGGTGGTGGCGGCAGAGGAGAAGTGTTTTTTTTTTTTTAATTTATTATGCAAAAGATGAAGGTTTAATGATTACTTTGTAATAATCAAGTGTAATTGGTGTATATTCTTTCAGTACACCTACTTTTTTAATCTAATGGTTGTCATTTAATCATGATTATCTTATGGCTATTAAATTTGACTGAACCACTCAGTCGACTGGACTGTAGCCACTCTCATATATATATATATATATATATATATATATTCCACCAAAAAAAATATAAGATATCGAGGTTAACTGATAATTTTAGAACAACAATATAGGTTTAAATGTGGTACAAATATTGATTTTATTCACCTTTACTTATTAAAAAAAATAAAAAAAATAAATGGCTCAATTATATAATAATATAATAATATCTGTCCTATCTCAGCATACCTTTTTACATTTCCAATACAAAAAATACCTAAAAACACACACTAAAAAAATGAAACAAACATAGTCCAATCGGGGGAGTTATCATCTCCTCCGATGGATTATTCTCTGCTTCCACAGCCCTTCGCTTTGAACCTCGAATGCACTCCATATCAATAAGAGAATTGCCTAGAATCTACCCAAAGGAGAAAACGAACTACCAAACCAGCTCCAAACCGAAATCCAGACGGAGTGTAAAAAAAAAAGAGTGAACCTCAAAACAAGTCATCAACCTTTAATATATTTTCACTCTAGGTCATCAATTAAATTTATTTGTAACACAGGTTACCCTGCTAAAGTTTTAATCCATTTCAGATTATTCTGTTAGATTTGGCCGTTAAATAGTAACGGAAATCCATTTTTCACATGTTTTTGGGTTCAGGGGTATTTTTGTCATTTTTTTACTTTTTATTTTTTATTTTTTACAATTTTTCTTCTTATACTTCCTAACTTGTATATATTGATAGTATAATTTTAAATTTTAAAAATTTATTTTCCTTTTGTATTTTAACTTCTAGATTATAAATTTTTTTTAAAAAAAATTCAGAAATGAAGAAGAAAAATTCGAGTTAAAGTAAACATGAAAATAAATAATTTACCATTTAAAAAAAATAAAAATAAAAATAATTAGCAAAGACAAGTTGTTTCTTCTAGGTTATTTAATTTTTTTCAACTCGATTGAATTATGTAATTATTAATTTTCACGTTTCTTATTCCTTTCTTTAAATAATCTACAAGTTAATAAAAAAATAACAAATTAATTTCAAAAATGAATTTGTTTGTCATTTGTATCTTAACTTCTAGATTATAAAAAAAAAAGGAATAAGAAACGTGAAAATTAATAATTAAATAATTCAATCGAGTTCAAAAAAATTAAATAATTTAGAAGAAACAACTTGTCTTAGCTAATTCTTTTAGTTTTTCTTTTTGTTTAAAATGGTAAATTATTAATTTTTGTGTTTACTTTAACTCAAATTTTTCTTCTTCATTTCTTTTTTTTTTTTTAAATTTTTATAATCTAGAAGTTAAAATACAAAAGGAAAATAAATTTTTAAAATTTAGAATTATACTACCAGTGTATGCAAGTTAGGAAGTATAAGAAAAAAAATTGTAAAAAAAAAAAATTAAAAGATTAAAAAAATAAAAAAATAAAAAAAATAAAATGACAAAAATACACATGAACCGAAAAGCATGTAAAAAATGGATTTCCGTCACTATTTAACGGCCAAAATTAACAGAATAATCTGAAATGTATTAAAATTTTAGTAAGGTAACCTGTGTTACAAATAAATTTAATTGATGACTTAGAGTGAAAATATATTAAAGTTTGATGACTTGTTTTGAGGTTTACTCAAAAAAAAAACAAAAACGAAAAACAATAGAAAGCACCATCAGCAGGAAGCATCTCAAAGCCGAAATATATCAATATCAAATTATATCAGTGTATATAGAAACAGCGAAGGCTCGAACCAAAAACAAGACTTGCAAAAAAAAAAAAAAAAACTTTACCGAGAAGAAGAGATGACAACTGGGATTCCTTAGAAGGGGAGGGAGCGGCGGCGGTGGGAGTGACATCTAATTTAGAAATTGACACTGCCGACGCACCCTTCGGCTCCAGCAATCGACTGGAGGCGCCGAAACTCAGCTGCTCGTCGGACGCTGCCCGTGGCGGTGGCGGACTTTCCATCAGATCCTTCTATATCCAAGAGAAAGACAGAAAGCGTGCGAGCTTTGTTGTTCTGGAATCTGGGGATTTCGGAAAATAAAAGGTTTCTTTTAAAAAATCCATTTTGTTGGGCCTTTGGGCTTTAACCTTTTCGTCTAATTTAAAATTGGTTGTCTTAAAGAAAAAACCACAAAGAAACCGGAATACTTGGGCTGTGATAAGGCTTGGGTCGACGTAACTTTTCATGACGATCCGTCTAAATATTTTCAATGGCTATAGTAGCTTTTTATAAACTCTCCATTCAACAGAAAAAATTTTCATTATTTTTTTTTTTATAAATTTATGTTTATTTTCCATTTCTCTAAATACCTGTTGCAATCTTTCTTTAGAAGCTTGTTCATCTATTTTTCCTACAATATAGTATTTACTTTATTTTTTTTCTTGGTTGCATAGTTTTCACGGTCTCATTCATAGTAAAAAGAAAAATTAGCTAATTAAAAGGAATCTTAGATTTTCTTTACAATATTTAGAAATGTCTTGTTAACATAATTATTTTCCCATTGCGATATTTTTATTATTTTTTTTGAGTGGTGATAGAGAAAGTGAAAAATTAGTGAATTTGGTGTAATGACTGATGTGTAAATCACTCATTAGTTAATTTTTAAGAGGTAGTTATTATTATCAAGTGAACTACGAATCACATGTTTCCACATCAGTTATTACACCAAAGTCATTATGATATTTAATTATACTTATCATTTTCCTTTATTTTATTTTTTTTTACATAGTATAGACTTTTTTTGAAAGTCCACGTGGTATAGACTGGGAATGTAAAAGATATTGATTGCTAATTTTAGTGAACTGAAAGTTTCATATTTTTCTATCCCATATAAATAATTCACATTAAAAAATAAGATAAACGTTTTTTTTTGTGGGGGTTAAATGATTTAATTACGATATATCCACTCTATTTCCAATACAATGAGCGCACCCTAAATAAGATCCTGCATGTGGAATTTTACATGTGAATCAGAAATAGTTTAATTGCTAGCGAGTTAAATACATAATATCTATCATTTAATAGGAAAATAATACTCTTAGTGAATGAAATTAGTGACAACATATGGTGATTGATGTCAAATAATCATGGTCCTTAGCTTTTTGCTACTTTTTCGTTAAAATTTTATTTTTCTCCCAAAATCACATTTTTACCTTTGATTAATAAATAGACATGTTTAGCAAGTATACGATGTATTTCCTATATGCAATATTATTAGTATTTTTTTTCTTACCTTTACTTTATTCATGTAGATTTCTACATATGGCAGTGAATATAAGGCAATTATTCATTTGCGCAAATTTTACATATGACCTGTCATGTTCTTTTTTTATTCTTTTGTTTTTTTGAATGATTCTTTTTTTATTCCATTAATAAAACGGAATTCCATCAGGTCTTGTATCACTTTAAAAGTTATACACTAGAATGTTCATACATTAACCATTTATTTAAAATATATTAAATAATAATTTTTTTAGTCTCAATTGTGACAAGTAAAAAAGTAAATAAACTTGATTAATTAATAATATATTAATTTTTCAAAAATCAGTGCGCAATATATATCCCACAATTTTATAATTAATAGACACTTATATAAAAGTTAGATTTAGAGATTATCTCAGATTTTAAATTAACCATTTTTTGATGTTCGTAATTCTATATTTTTTTTCCAGTCGAAAATGAATGATGAAAAAAATTATAATCAACTTTATTCCCGAGAAAATAACAAAATTGGAATTTTTTTGGATTGAAAAATATATTATAATATGAAATTACTCTTTTTTTTGTTTTTATTGATAAATTCATTAATAAACTATATACTAGTATAAATTGTTTGAGGCCAACTTTATTAATTTATTATAAAGGTTTTACTATATACTGTATATAATGTATATCTCTCTGTTTCGTCGATCAAAATAGGCATTTAGGGCAAAAAAAGATTTTTCAATCGGACCGTTTTAAGTTTTAGTGGCAAAATAGAGGGGAGCAATGTAGGAAAAACTATAATGCAGGGGTAATTTTATAATTAATTGTAAATATATATTGAATTTCATCAATCTCTGCAAACCTTCTCTTCCATCTCTCTCTAAACTCCCAGTCAGACTTTTCTCTCTCTCCATGCATGGCAATTTGGGATCGAACTTCCGAATTAAGTGACTGCAATTCACCCGTTTCGCGTTCGGAATTTGATGAGGAAGATGTAATTTTGTAGGTTTCAAGTGCTAAATTTTTGGGTAGGGAATTAGGTCGATCAAAGAATACTATTTTGATTGTTTGGTTAGGGTTTTGGAAAGCTCAGAAGGTTTGACATGAAGGGGCCTTTAGATCGAACCAAGGTGGTGCTCCGCCACTTGCCGCCTTCAATTTCTCAGTCGTCGCTCATGGAGCAAGTTGATTCCCGCTTCTCTGGCCGCTATAACTGGTTCTCTTTTTTTCCTGGCAAAACAAGGTTAGGGTTTACACACAATGTGAGAGGAATATATACGTGCAGCACTTTTTTGGTTTTGGTGCTGGCTTATTTATTGTTTTCGGTGCGATTTTTATTTTGTGGTTTTATTAATTGGGTTTGGCTTTTGGTCTCGAATGCTTGTCTGGTTGGGTTTTAAGTGATGGGTTGAGTTTGAAAAAGATATGAATTTTGAGTGATTTTTGGAGTGACATTGTCGTTTGGGACGTCAATCAGGTTTTTGGAATAGGAAGAATGAGGTATGACTAGCGGTGAGCTATAATGACTAGCCCATGGTCTGATGGGAATGTGAAATTGTTTTTTGGGGCAATGAATGGATTTTATTTATCAATTGGAAGGTTCTCATTGGTGATATGTGGCTGAGAGATGAGGAAAGAATCACAAGTGGAAATGATTGTGAAAAAAAAAATGTTAAAACAAAAAAAGCCCGGATAGTTTTGCTGTTTTATGATTTGGTGACGCGTGGTCTATAGTTGTTTGTTCGGTCTTATTCTTGGTATATGTGTGCTTTGTGTTTTGGATTTTGCGAGTTATTTAGGCATTTAGCACTTATGCTCCTCGCTGCTCAGCTATTATTTGTCACCAAGGATGGTCTGTCTGTTTTTTGTCGCTTTGGGTTGACCGTAACGGCGTGATCGAAAAAAAATTTAATCAAAAAAGCTTAGTTTGTTGAATTTATGGGTGATCTACATCCTTACGCTGTTTCCTTCTTCGCTCTCATTTGTTGGTTCTTGTGCTTTGTTGAATTAAGTATTGTGTCGGAGGTTGAGAAGTATCTCAAGTGGAGTTTCCAAATTTATTCTTTCATTATTATTGCCATATTTTACCTTTAATGCAATCGATTTCATGTTTCTGAATGCTTGGCTTCACTTTATTGGGATCTGAAATACTTTGACAGCTTGCCCACCAGTATTTTTGTTATCAAACAAAATGGACATCATTTGTTCTGTAATATGCGCAGAATGTTGTTTGCGTGATCTCTTACATCCTTCTGTTTCTATTTGCTTTGCAGTCACAACCACCAGTCCTATTCTAGAGCTTACATCGATTTTAAGAGAGCAGACGATGTTATTGAATTTGCCGAGTTTTTTGATGGACATGTCTTTGTCAATGAAAAAGGTAATCCCTAGGTTTAATCTTCGGTGTGCTTGAGTTCTTTTATTCACTGCATATTTGTCTCCCTTTTCCGTTTTTTTATTAAGAGATTGAAATACATTGACTGGAAATTGAACTGTTCCATTCCATTTCGTTAGAGTTTTTTATGAGCTCATCCAACTGCCCCTTTTTTTGAAAATAACTGCTATTAGTAAAGCAAAACCCGAGCTTCCAATCTAGTTCTCATTGTCTTACTGTATTTGAGTTGATGAAAATTTGGATAAGATTATTTTCTCCTTCTCGCCACTAACCCTAAGTTGTTTGTTAAACAGTAATATCAGTAACTAGCTATAATTTTTTTGCTTTTCCTGCATAGGTACTCAATTTAAAACAATTGTCGAGTATGCTCCATCACAGCGTGTTCCGAAGCAGTGGTCTAAAAAAGATGGAAGAGAAGGAACTATATTGAAAGGTATATTCACCTAGTTGTATGCTAGTTGCAGCTAGCTTGTGTTCCATCGTTTTATTTTCTTTTTCAGTCACTATTAATTTATTGATGAACCTGTAGATCCTGAATATATGGAGTTTCTTGAATTTCTTTCAAAGCCTGTTGAGAACCTTCCAAGTGCAGAGATTCAGTTGGAGAGGAAGGAAGCAGAGCGAGCTGGTCAGTTGGTTATACACATTTTTTATGCAATTGAGACTGAGACTTAAAAAGTGATATTGTATTTACCGTATTCTCACAAAATAATTTTCCCTCTCTTGATATTTAGGTGCCGTAAAGGAGGCTCCTATAGTTACTCCTTTAATGGATTATGTCCGTCAGAAAAGAGCAGCAAAGAGTGGAGTCCGGGTAAGAATTTTTATTGTTTCAAGCTACAGCTGGTTTAATTATGATTTTCCAGCTTAGACTTTGAAATACTTTCATATGATGTATCAGGATTTCAGTGGCATATCTTAGGCTGTTGCATCTGTTATACCTTTTTATCTAATTTTTCTATTGCCTACGAAGTCCATTTTCTCCCTCTTCAACATATCTATGCTAGTGATTTTTCATGGTCACTGTCTTAAAACTGACACACAATGGTCCTTTTTATTTATGTTTTGAACATTAGACTCTAGATGCTGTTGTTGGAGTTGGTTTAGCTACTGGTTTGTTTCATTTAGGTTGAAATAAGTAGCTTTTTTTGGGTTAAATTTTAGTTTCTCTTTCTCTTCACTTGTAACTAGTTTTATGACAGCTTTTAACCTGCTGCTTTCCATAACTGCAGAGGTCTGTTTCTAATGGAAAATCTGCTAAAAGGATTAGTAGAGCAACTGAAAGTTCTAGCTCTAATTCATCTAAACGTGTTTCAGACAAGAGGAGGATATCCACTACAACCATGGTACTCAAACAACATTTAATCTTTCATTTATCACCATCTCCCCGGTGTGATCTTGCTTGTGATTGTATCCTCATTTTTATATATATTTTCCTGGTATTTTATGCTGCTGCTGTCATAATTTTTTTTCTTTTGCTCTGTTTTTTATGCTTGACTGTATAATTGTTCATTGATGAGTGACAGGGTCTTTAGTTTTTTTCCCATTCCGTCGTCATTAAGATCTGCTCTTGTCATTTGATCTGGTGCATAATCCTTTTAAATTTCTTGTAACTGTGTCCATGTATGTGGAATTCCAAATTTAGTACTTGAAGATATTTAGTTATGATGCTGTGTCCATAACGGATTATGTCATAGATTTGTCTTTCAAGCCGTGTCATGTCTTTCATAGATTTGTCTTTCAGCTTTTTGGATTTGATTTTGTATTATCATGCCCTTTTATGTTTTTTGTTGCTTTTGACTGACTTTATGTTGAATTTGCTGCTGTAGTCCTTGGTTGGACTTATTGGTTGTAATCGTGATCATTAGTAAACCAGTTTGTTTGGGCTCTTGGAGCTTTCTCTTTTGTTTTATGTACTTGATCTTTAAACTTTGATTTCCCTTTGTTGTGTTCTATTTTTGATATGCCTTTTTTTTCTTCCAGAGCAAATACAATCCACATAGCTAATCTGACGTAGTGGATGTTGGCTGACTTGTTTTGGCATAATGTTTCTTGCAGTGTTGGTCGTGTACCTTTGTCCCTTTTTGTAGATTTCTTTACTTCATGTTGTCTTAAAAACAGTCTAAATGTGAATACTTTCTCCTAAAGTAATGACCAGAAAAATTGAGCTTAGGTCATCTTTCGATGCTCTGGGGATTCCTGGATGTTGATTACTCATAATGTTAACTTCATCCTCTTCTTGATGAACAGTATGTGCTAAGGGACAGCTCTAAGGGCGTCAGCGGAAAAGACAAATCTGCGTATGTTTTGGTTCCTAAAAGGGATGATCAGCTTTTATCCGATAAATCTACTTCTGCTGCTACACATGGAAGTGGTCCAGGGGAAGAGGAGAATGGTATGTGTTATGTTTGGTGTTTGGGTGTTTCTTGCCTATGCATCTTGTTGCTGTTTATTTGTGAATATTGGTGTCTTGGATTCTAGTGTTTGTTAAGTATGTTACTTTTTACTCAAAATTAACTGTTTTGTTCTTATTTGGGCCTTGCTAAAGAGCTGGAGGAACAAGAACTTTTTATTATTAAATCTATTTTGAAATTTTGTTCTGTTTTTCAATTTGCAACATGAATGAGGAGCCTTGCTTTCCAAAATATTCCTTGGGTTTTTCTTTCCTTTTCTTTTCTTATGCTATTGGCTTTGTATGTCTCTGCTTTAAAAAGAGGGAGACAATCTAGTCAGTTCTTTGTTCTTTGGGTGTTTTATGAATTTTATTAAAGTTACCTACTGTAAAAGGAGAAATTCCATCAAAACCTTTTTATGTGTTTCAGGAAACTCTGGGAAGAAGAAAATTTTGCTTTTGAAAGGAAAAGAGAAGGAAATTCGTCATGTAAGTCATCACCTCTACTAAAGCTGTAGTAGGCTGTCTTTACTGTTGTAGAGTTAGAATTTTGTTCTTTTATTATCACTGGTAAAGATGATAAGCAAGAGAAGTTGAGATTCCAACCCGTATGTGTGGAATGTGCAATGACCAAAGGTAATTTGAAGCTTTGGTGTGCTTTGTTGTGGATGATGGGGGGTTATACCTCTCTCAGGCTAATCTGCTCGCAATCTGCTTGTTAATATATGAAGCTAATTGTGGCGATGTGGTGTCATTTTGCATTTTATACCTGTAGAAACTGGTAAATTGTTCAGGGCAAAGCATAATTAATCCATCTTAATTTTTTGTTTTTGGAATTCAAGCTAGTTCTGTGGTTTGTAAGACAAATTAAACTTCTTTTGTAGATAACTGGGGGCTCACCTATCCAACAAAGTACTAATGCTCCTGCTAAGACTTCTCCTAGCTCTGCTGTGAAGCAGAATCAGAGACGTGAGGCCAGTGGGAAGATTATAAGAAGCATACTACTAAAGGATAATCGTCAATCTTCTGTGATTCGATCTGAGCAGCAGAGCCAGGCATCAAATATGGATAAGGATAGAAGACCTCCTCGCCCACCTAGTGTGTCCTTGCTTCAGAAGGATGGAAATGTAGATGACAAGGTTCATGCTGATTTTCATGGTCAACACAGCGAGAAGCAAGAAAGACGCTCAAGGAACAAGGATAGACCTGATCGTGTTGTTTGGACTCCTCTTCGTCGTTCAGATGGTTCACATACAAGTGACGAGTCCTTATCATCATCTGCTTCTCAATCTGTAGCAGATTCTGCTGAAGGTATGGTCATTCTTTTTTAATCATTCTAATGTGGGTATATATGGAAGTCCTTGATACTGTTGTTTCATTGGAATTTTCTAGATTCGTAGTCTAGGTTCATTGTTGAAGGTCTTCTTTCAAAGCTTGGGTGATTTTCTTTATTGGTTAACATTAGCCTCGTATCTTACTTAGGAGCTCAACTTGAAACAAGGAATGAAATGCCAAGTGGACGCAGTGGGGAGTCCAGACATGGTGGTAGCGGACGTGGTAGTTATTCTTCTGTCGACAATGGTTAGATATATTGATTATATGAAACCATGGATGTTCATTCATCTAAGGTTTTCCACATTTCTGAATTCTGTTTATGTTTTTGGTTTTCTTGGTTAAATTAGGGTCTTACAAACATGGTGGTCGCCGCGGGTCTGCACATATAAAGGATTCTGATGATTCTTCATATCTGGAGGGAAAGCCCTTAAGAAGGGCAGGGTCTTCTGGTCACTATGAGGTGATCTTATCTTGAAACTTCTTGGACCCATTTTTATTCTCTCTTTCTTCAGTGCATGGATGTATTTTCAACTGTGTCATTGAACTTCACTATGATGTAATGCAGAAACAAGTGTGGGTTCAGAAGTCAAGCTCTGGTTCTTAGTTATTGTATGCGGTAAGGCCCAAAGGTTTTCATTTCTCATTGTCAAATAGAAAGCGTTGTGATGCCTGTTTATATGTTTCAATTTGCATGCAGTCAAGTTTTGAGCTTCAGAAATTGTTTTAAGAATTTGAAAAATTTTGAGGATAGGGGGAGTTATTTTCTTTTTTCTTTCCAGTGATTGTAAAGTTTATAAAGAAAAATGAAATGGTGGAATAGAGTGCAGAAAGGAAGATGGTATTCTTTTATATGCTGGAGAATGTTTCTTGACTTTTATATTCAATTTGTCATTTTTTGCTGCCTGGCTTTGTAGTGAAGTGCATGGTCATTTACCATACGGACATATAAACCCCTTAGAGGTTGGAGCTCTATCTCTTTTGGAGAAGAGGATATCAGGTGTGAACAAAGTTGGTGGAACAAAAAAAAATGGTTCATGTTGGAACCTCCGGGTCTTTTGAATGCTGCAGATACCAAATTGTATTTACTGTTTCTTGCGAGGAAGAAATTGTGATCCTACCTAATTGAAGTTGAGGATGATAAATAGGAGAAAGAGGATGAGCAGATGGTCATTATTATCGACTATTTCACCGCCAGTTTTCGTCCAGGTGATCAATCGTCCGGCTGGATTATACTGAACAGTGGAGACATGGGTATAGTCCTTACATTTGACTGGATAGAGAGGTCAGATTTGTTAACTGATAGAGGAGAGGACGGTTTCTTTTCGCCTGAACTGTAAATACAGATATGGAGTGGTGTGTTAGTGTCTCATCACCCCCCATGTATGTGTTTTCTCCGATAGTATGCCAGACGACGCCGCATGTGGCTTTGGTGAATAGATAGATATATATATATATGTGAATAGATATCAAATGCCCAGGTGCTTCTTACTTGTATTCTGATTTCGGGTAATGGAGTTGGTTTTTGGCACTTGTTTATTCTCTCTCTCTCGGTTGTTTGTTTGGGTTGGCTTTTTTAAATCATAGTTTTATTTGAACAACACAATCAATACGATGACCTTAGTATAGAATTGCTAATCTTTCTTCGCCGGCGTTGGATTTGATAGCAGAATGAAAAGGAGAAAGCGCTTGATGGAAATACATCTTTTATTTTACCTAGACGCTAGAAGACCAAGCCGTGAAATAAAACGAGTCATTTTCAGACAATTTACACAATTTTAATTTCTCTGTACCATCTGTAAGTTTTATAAACTAATGTAAGCACCTAGTGGCCTGGCGTGGCATGTCCTAGGCTGCAAAAATAGTTGAGGCTGATAAAAAGAAGGAGCATCATCAAGAAAAACTCAAAAGGGATTTTGAATGTGCAATTAACTTGGAAGTTGCCAAAGTCTCTTCCGAGAACAACAATGGCGGCTCTAGTGATGCAAGCCATTTCCATGTCACCAAAGTCTCTTCATCAAATCCAACTTCAACCCATATCTCCCCTTCTTACAAGTTTCGTACCACCACCAAAGCTAACAACAAATGCTTCTAAGAAACGGGCAATTCGGGCGTCCATGGATGGATATTCTTCCTCTTCTTCTACTACTGCTGTTGTGGACCCACCTAAACCCTTCTCAGGTCTTAACCTCTGATTATCTCCGTCCACAGAATATATATATATATATATATATATTTTTTCCTGGCTGTAATGTGTGAATAGTATCTGAGATAATGTGGTTGCAGAACATTGATGTGCAGGCAAAGCAGAGGCAGATGTTGTGGTGATTGGTAGTGGTATTGGTGGATTATGCTGTGGTGCGCTTTTGGCTAGATATGGCTTGGATGTTCTTGTTCTGGAAAGCCATGATCAGCCCGGAGGTGCTGCTCATTCTTTTGAGATTAAGAACTTCAAATTTGATTCTGGGCCGTCTCTCTTTTCTGGCCTCCAATCAAGAGGTCCCCAGGCCAATCCTCTCGCACAAGTAATTCGCATGTATATTTTTGTTCTTTTTTCTTCTCAAGTAGTAATGCTTTAGCAAGTCTTAAGTGAAAAGTAGTATAGTGTATTAGAATGCAGGACCTTTCATCGGAAATTACTGAAATCTTGGTACCGCGTCACTGTCAAATGTAACTTGATTGTTTGTTTTGTAGATACTTGATGCATTAGGCGAGTCGATTCCCTGTAAGACTTATGACTCGTGGATGGTTTATATTCCTGAAGGTGAATTTTTGTCACGCATTGGGCCAACAGAGTTCTTCAAGGTGAATTTCTTGCTACTGTGATGATCAAAATGAGGCCTTTAGTCAAGTTATAACAGTTACTTAAACTCATGGTTTATTGCTCTCCTTTCTCTTTGGTAATAACTAAGGCTGCCAAATTAGTTATCATTAGGAAGTAAATTAAGTAATGTATATCTCATCAGGTTTTAAAAATACCGGCAGTGCCTAACACTGCACAAAACCATGGTGGCTTGCATACCACCATGTCTTTTGTTTATGCTTGACATGGATTCGCAAATGTTTGAACTTTTTCTGAGGTCACACGGAATTTCTGTTTCATCTTCCTACAAGCAGCTTCTATCTTCTTTTATTTTCATCTCTTCTTTTCACGTTAATGGTGGTGTATACAAAGTATCTCATTTACATGTTAGATTTAATTCAATGTCATTCTACAGGATCTAGAGAAGTATGCGGGTCTAGAGGCTGCAAGAGAATGGAGAAAGCTTCTTGTGAGTTTGATTTTCTCATATCTAGATGAAAATGGTTATTTTGTTGCAAGTTCCTGTTGTACTAATTTGTTAGTTTTATGTTATGATCATGATCCCGCTTTATGTCTAAATGTAATTGCAATTTCTGTAGGATGCAATACTACCATTGTCTGCAGCTGCAATGGCTCTGCCTCCTCTGTCTATCCGTGGTGATTGGGGTGTTCTTTCTACAGCTGGTGCTAGATACGCGCCCTCTCTGCTGCAATCTTTTGCTAAAATGGGACCTAAGGGAGCCTTTGGCGCCACCAAACTTCTAAGACCTTTCTCAGAGGTTCTCGACTCCTTGGAAGTGAAGGATCCCTTTGTCAGGAATTGGGTGGATCTTCTGGCTTTCTTGCTTGCAGGGGTGAAATCAAATGGCATCCTCTCAGCTGAAATGGCAAGTCACTTCCATTAGACACTGTCTTACGATTTAAAAATTTGGTAGATTTTTAAAAATTATAAATGGATCAATCTTCTGTTACTCTTGTATTTCACACTTCTTAGTGGCATCTTCTTCTCAGTTAGTAAATTTGAAGCTGTTAGATAGAGAAAGTTAGTGTTAATCATGTTTCGTATTCGCGAGGCTCTCTTTCGAGATATCTTCATCATTCTTCCCTGAACTCGTGATAAATTTGTTAGTCTTTAATTTGTTGCATATTGAAGTCTGTTTTGCTTGGACATTCATCAGGATACTCATGTATTTTCAGATTTACATGTTCTCGGAGTGGTACAAGCCAGGTTGCTGTCTAGAATATCCTCTTCATGGAAGTGGGGCAGTTATTGATGCTCTTATTAGGGGATTACAGAAATTCGGGGGCCGGATCTCTCTAAGAAGTCATGTGCAAGCTGTTGTTGTTGAAGGAGGCCAAGCTGTGGGTGTGAAGCTGAAAAATGGCCAAGTGCGTAAATCTTGGGAATGGATCTAACCTAGGACGACTGTTTTTGGGTTCACTAACTAATTGAATCTTGTTGCAGTTTGTGCGTGCTAGGAAGGCTGTTGTCAGCAATGCATCTATGTGGGACACACTGAAGCTGCTGCCTAAGGAATTTGTTCCAAAATCCTACGAGGACAGAATAAACAAAACCCCCCAATGTGAATCATTCATGCACCTGCATTTAGGTTTTGATGCAGAGGTAAGCAACTAGATTGAGGGAACCTTCTTCTTATCTTTATGCAAAAGAGTTTACTTTCATGGGGATCATGCGATTTAAGCTAGCTCACTGACTGTTCATTCATCATTTCCTCTGTCGTTATCTTTTGTTGATGATTAGGGTCTACCAGAGGATCTTGGCATTCATCACATAGTTGTGAATGAGTGGGAAAGAGGAGTTGATGCTGATCAGAATGTTGTTTTGATATCCATACCAAGCGTCCTTAGTCCTGACCTTGCCCCACCTGGGAAGCATGTCTTACATGCCTATACCCCTGGAACTGAACCTTTCGGGCTTTGGGAGGGTCTTGATAGGAGAAGCAGCGAGTATAAAGACCTCAAAGCTAAACGATCTGAGGTATGTATAAATGTTTCCAGTGAAAAAAGTTTATCAGCTTGATTGTCCTTGATGGCGACATATGATCCACATAGCCGACCCCATAGTGAAACGAAGGCCAATCATTTGTTGTAGACTGTCCTCGACATAACTCTTAGCCATTCTGTTTCTGTTATCTAATCTGTTACTTCTCTGCACTTAACATCTGCAGGTTATGTGGAAGGCTGTGGAACGTGTGCTTGGTCCAGGTTTTAACCGTGACAAATGTGAGGTAAAATTAGTTGGAACTCCATTGACACACCAAAGGTTTCTTAGGAGGAATAGAGGGACATATGGACCAGCTATAGAAGCTGGTAAAGGCACATTTCCAGGGCATTCGACACCCATCCCGGGACTCTTCTGCTGTGGGGATTCCACTTTCCCGGGCATTGGGGTCCCTGCAGTGGCTGCTAGCGGCGCCATCGTCGCCAATTCGCTCGTTTCTGTGTCTCAGCACTCTCAGCTTCTTGATGCTGTAGGAATATGAACCACGACCGGAATCAGCTGGTCATGTAATTCGTAGAAAGTAGTACAAAAACTTGCATGATGATACACGCTCTATACGGCTGGCTAGAATGTCAAAATGGGTATGCAGTTTTGTGCATTTGATGTTTCTATGCCAACCTTGCTAACGGAAGGAGCGTAACTACCTAGTGTTTTATTCTTTGGATAAAACTCGATAACGTGGATCATCTGTCGTCATCGTGGCTAAAATTAAACAAACCAAGAATCTACAGCAAATATCTTGGGTTGGAATGTCAAAGGAAAGTTGTGAACCAAGACCGAATCTGGTATGATCCCATTAGATTCTAACTAAACCAATCACCCAAAAACTGGGCTGTCAAAACCTTCAAATCCCCAACATACTTTAGTCGGAGGGGAGGAAAGTCAAAGTAGTCCAAAAAGTCCAATACCTTAACAAAAACCATTAATGCGATGACAATTTTCTCCCATTAAGCACCGGCAATTGGATTATATTCGTGTTCACTTCTAAAAAAAACTTTGTATGTGAAATGGATCTAATTTATATGCAACACTGTAAACAAAAAAAAAAAAAAAAAAGGTCTCCACATTGAGTTTCAATTTTGAACTAAAATCAGCACAAACTTCAAAATTAATTTAGATTATTTTTCTGAGACGACAGAGGCAGTATCATTTTAAATTAGGCTTGTTTTTTCATGATACCCAACTCATTTTACAAAAAAGAAAGAAGGATAAATAATTAAAAATACAATAAGAGTTTCATTTTATATTTTCTTTGTCTTAAAATAGTTTTCACCTTTTCAATTATAGAATGGAGTACTGATTATTACTGCGAGTATCATGAATTTGATTGATTTTTTTTTTCCTTCTTTAATTACTCCATACCAAATTACTAAAAGGAAAAATCACATTAGTAGAAGTACTTAGTATTAGTAATCTAGTCTAAAAGTCAACAAGGCCGGACAGGTTTGTCCAATGTACTGATTACGTGGATCATTTGAGGGGTAGAATTGGGTCCCACAGAGGCGGTCCCAAAGGCGAAACGATCTGCCACGTATTCATATTATGCCACCTTCGAAGCTAGAGCGGGACCAAATGTCTCACCTAATGAAATTTGGTTCAAAATCCCAAAAAATTAATTAAAGTTTATAAAAATCTTTTTATTTCAATATTTGTTTTTTATCAGGAATAATTTTTTCTTTTATTTTCTTTGCCAAGCACAATAAGCATATTAATTTACTCAATTAGTAATTTAATATTAGTAAAAAAGCCAGTAAACACTATTTTTATTAAAAAAAAGTTGAAACGATTTTATAATTATTAAATAGATGTTCAAAGTAGAAACACGAGATGCTACTTGTAAATGATAATTACACATAAAAAAAAAAAAAAAACTTTGCAGTCGAAATGCTACAAAGTTTTGAAAATAAGTCGTGAAGAATTATTCTTTTTTTTTTTGAAGGAGTTGCAGAATATGCATTATCGATTTTTAAAAAAAATTATTTTCTGAACAAGAAAACTATAAAGATTTACCCACGTTGTCTCACTCTCACATAATGAGAAAGTAAAAAAAATACTATTCTCGTCCCAAATAGTTCACAATAAGTTTTAAATTTTGTATTCCTTACTTTTAGTGTAAATTTGAAAATTCAATGTGATTTATTTATTTATTTATTTTATTTTTTGGATAAAGAAAGTATAACAGAGTATTTTTTAAAGGTGATTGTTTTTTTGGATATAGACATCGAAGATATCAGTCTTGATATTTGATTAGAAGTGATTTTTATTTTTTTATTTTTCATTTTTTCAAAAAAAAAAATTATTTTGAGGTACAAAAGTTTGGTGGTCACACACAAAACAATCATACGAGAGCTTTAAAAAACATGAGCATAAAAACGATTGGAGAGGAGTGCAGCATTATTCGGTGGTCATGAAAAGCATATGACACATTTTCCCCTCTCCCTTACCCATCACAATTGACACAAGAAGAGCTACGAAACGGTGAGAATGATAGATATTAGATAGGGCAAATAATAAAGGGATTGTTGATTCATGATTGATTGAAAGAAATTCAGAAAATAAAACCCGCATGTCACTACCCTACTACTTTCACTTTCGTTCAACAAGAGGAGTAACATATACTCTCCCTCCCTCCTGCGACTATTTCAATACGATAACGTAATAGTGTATGTATATTTCAATTACGAGTATGTTATTGTCGTATTAATGCAAAATATAGAGCTTTATATATTGTTCATCCATTCGCCATAAATTTTACTTAATTTTATATCAAAAGAGAAAGATGCACATCACAACAAATTTTGTTGTTCGAGAATTCGAACGTAAGAATTTGATGTAACCCGACATGTTGGTCGCTTGAACAAATGTAAACTGTCATCAATAGTATAAAAATGCATACCTCCCTCGCAGTTCCGGTCGGTGGACTCTCTCATTAAATAACAATGGTGAAAAAAAGAGCCAAATTCTTGAGAGTTGAAACCCTACATTATTGCAATTATACACTCCTTTCAAGTTCCAATTTGAACCAATAGTACTTCCCTCGAGATGAAATCCGATACTTTAATCATTCTTTCATATACTATACTACTACTACTACTAATTATGTTTATTATAGCATGGGTGACTTTGGGTCATATTTCAGGTTTTTGTTTGAATAATGATAGTTATCTTGTCATTTGTCAATGTATTAATATTACATGTGGAAAACGATAATTAGGTTTTAAGTATTGAATTTGTATGGTTGGTAAAATGTGTACTATTCAAATCTTTTGTACTATTGTGTGTTCACTGACAATAAAAACAACTAAACTTATTATCGAGATTCAGATATCAAAAATTATCACATCTCTGCAGTAATAATATTTCTTATGCACTAAGCTTGCATTTCGATACTAAACTTTTATTAGTACTTATTAACACAATGCGATAAACTCACATAACTACTCCTTCCATCTTAAAAAAAAGAAAGCGTTAAGTTTTTAATTAGTTTAATACAAATTTGAATACTGATACGAACTATTTTGTTGAGACTGAAATAATACTTTGGATTTAGTATTTCGTCTCAACTTGGCAGTAGTCAGTATACACCATTAACACAAAAGATATCATCATTCTCCTTCCTAGGAATATTAAAACAATGTAAAAAGTTAGTAAAAGGTATTGAGTGATACTACTCTACAAAAGCGTATAAAAAAACGTTAGAAAGGTGAAAGGAAAGTGAGAAGCCAGCTTGAGTGTCACTACTACTACTAGTTTGTTGCAGTAGCAATGAAATCAAACAGTTCACGCTTCCCTTGACTTTGATCCTCTCTTTTTTACACTCCATTGATCCACCTCCACCATATCCTTCCTTCCTACCTTTTCCTTCTCTCTCTCTCTCTCTCTTTCTTTCTTTTTCAGGCAATTTAGTATTCTAATTCGTTAAGATTTTGTATGTACTTCTCTTTCTTTCTTTCAATTTTCAATTCCTTAATATACTTGACCATTATTGTTTTGTACAGTTCTTTCTACTGTAGTACTGTTTACTACTACTACTACTACTACTCATGAATGTCTGTGTGAGTTGATTGGGTTTTAGTTCTTTTAGACACCAAGTAAAGAAAAAGATATGCTGGGAATCTGCTTTCGATTTCCACTCATCAATTTTAATCCGGGTTTGTTTGTTTTTCCCTTTTCCCCTTTTTTAAACTATACAGTGGAGATTGAATTATGACTAGTGCTTGGCCTTTGGCCTTTCAGTTTCAGACCCTCATGCTCTGTTTTTCTTTCTTTCTTTTGGGTTGCTTTAACGAAAAAAGGTTTCTTTTTGGGATAATCTTAATAAGTAGTTTTTTTTTCTTCTCTTCCGTTGCTTCCGCATGAGAAAAGGGCAATTTGCTGAATCGGGAAGATTCATTGCCTTGATTTTTTGACAACCCATATTTCCAATTTGGTTTAGTCTTCAGTTTTTGGATCTGATTGCTTGGGAAAATTTATTTGAGCTTCTTGATGTTGCTGTGATTTTGATTTGTGTATTTTAATGGTGGGTTTTCCTTTTGATGTTCCTTTTGGTACTGGGAATTTCGGTTTCTTTGTTGTTACTGAGAAGAAACGCGAATACCTAAGATTATTAGCTGTAAATTTCACCTTTACCTTTCTTTTCTCTTTTACGAGCTTTTGAAATCTCAAGAAAGTTAAATTTTACAGTGAAATGAATTGGTTTTAGCTGGAAAGAATCTGCATAATTTATTGGTGCGACTGCTGGGGAACAATTTTATCCATTCGCCCTTATATGCCTATTTCCATGTGCTGAAGTATTCCTAGACATGAAGATGCTTTGTATCTGCCACTGCGTAATCATTTTAATATATAAATGCTCGACTTTTTCAAATGACCATTTTATTTGTAATTATGTTACTTGTATGTTTGGTCGGGAAACAAGCATAGATTCTCTGTTGTAGTGTTTCAGTGTTAGATATTCTTGTCCTTAAATTTTTTTCTGTACTGTTTTTGACGAAATCTAAATGTCTGCATTTTACTATGTTCATTGTGAATATTAGGTAGAGAGGCTCTTGCATGATCTCGGAGTGCAGCACCACAATTTATGATGCCCAGAACAGGAAGCTGTTGATTCTCTTATAGCGGATATATGGCGTCTACCGGATTGGGGCACACGGGAGTTGGGAGTTCCAGAAGTACTAATGGCTTCAAGGGATCATCAAGTTCAATGGACTGGCTTGGAAGAGAGATGCTTGCTATGAGATTGAGGGACAGGGTTGGCCACAACAATGATAGTGTGAGCTCCTTAAATCTTCTGGATTCTAAATTATGGGCTAATAATGATCGCAAAACAGGACCCCTAAGATTGTGATCTTATACTTTGCCTGCAATGCATTGAGAAGGCCTCAATTTTACTGTCGAAAAGGCCATGAGGTCTGCTAATGGTAACAGCTCTTTGCCTTATGCATGTTATATGCAGGATAGCGAACCTGATATTATAGATGGTGTGGGTGCTGAAGCCGGTCATGTCATAAGGACGACTATAGGTGGACGAAGTGGTCAAGCCAAACAGGTAGGATCAAAGTGATTTGTTGTTATTATGTCTCATGTGATGAATGCTGTTAATAATGTTACTCTTTTGTCATGCAGGTTGTCAGTTACATAGCAGAACATGTAATTGGAACTGGTTCGTTCGGTGTTGTTTTTCAAGTAGGTGCCACTCTGCTGTTTCCTGAATTTTATGACATGCTGCATGTTTCCAATTTACTCAGACTTTTGTGTTGTTTGTAAAATTGCTTTTGGTAGGCAAAATGTAGGGAAACTGGAGAAATTGTTGCTATCAAAAAAGTGCTACAGGACAAGCGTTACAAGAACAGGGAGTTGCAGATCATGCAAATGCTAGACCATCCTAATGTTGTTTCCCTTAAGCATTCTTTCTACTCGACAACAGACAAAGAAGAAGTGTACCTGAATCTTGTTCTTGAATTTGTGCCTGAAACTGTGAATCGCATTGCTAAACAATACAGTAGAATGGGCCAAAGGATGCCACTGATCTATGTCAAGCTTTACACGTATCAGGCATGTAGTCTTGCATAGCTATTGTTGCAGTTTTCGGATTTTTAATTTTATTGTTGCAGTTTTGCTTGGTCTTTTGTTTCCTGGGCTTATGTATAAGAGATTCCCCTTGCATATATGTTAAAAATTTATTATTGGTATGTCTAATTTTACTGTTCATAATACTCTTAGGCGCCTCTTTACTCCTTGCCTTCATATATATATATATATATATATATATATATATATATATGTATATATTCCTTTTAATTTTCTTTTTGTTGGGGGTCGGGGTGAAATGCCTTTTGATTTTCAGTTGTATTATATACATATATATATTTGTTCCTTTTAATTTTCTTTTTGTTGGGAGTCGGGGTGAAATGCGTTTTGATTTTCAGTTGTATTAACATGTAAAGTAACACTTTCATTAACTATAGGCTAAGGTTAATCAAAATTAGATAATTTGAGATTGGAATCCCTAGTTTTGGAAAAAGTTTTATAGCCTTCGTGATCACAGTGATGTTATTGTCCGAACATCCCTCAACCAGCATAAAGAGTTTTCTGCTTGGAGTTCTCCCTTGAACTCTTGTATGTTAGCTTGACAACTGCTTGCTTGGATGCAGATATGTCGGGCGTTGGCATATATTCATAACTGTATAGGAATTTGTCACCGTGACATCAAACCTCAGAATTTACTGGTAAGATTTTTGATATTTCAACTTGTTTGATATTGCTGTCATAAAGTTAGCTGAAATAATGTGCTCCACTAGCAGTAAAATGAAGTATCTTATAACTTATCTGTGTTTGTATGACTTTTCATACTTCCTCCAGGTAAATCCTCATACACACCAACTGAAAATTTGTGACTTTGGAAGTGCAAAAGTTTTGGTAAGTATTAAATGCACATTTGTTTCTTTGTCAAAAGGTGGTGCCCTTTTTGTCGCTTGTTCAATGATGGATTCATTGTTTTTTCTTCAGGTGAAAGGGGAGCCCAACGTGTCCTATATTTGTTCAAGATATTACCGAGCTCCTGAACTTATATTTGGTGCAACTGAATACACAACTGCAATTGACATTTGGTCTACAGGTTGTGTGATGGCTGAGTTACTCCTAGGGAAGGTAATTCCACTGGATCACATTGACCATATCCCTCCTTTTGAAATTATTATGTACTAATTTGTAATAATATCTCCAACTTTTGATGCAGCCTTTATTTCCCGGAGAGAGTGGAGTTGATCAATTAGTTGAAATCATCAAGGTACTATCTGCTATCCCATTCGCTTCACATAATTAACTTTTGTAGCAATTTAAGGCAAGGGGCATTTAGCTTGTCCCTGAATGTGAGAAAGTATGCGGTTTGATTCGATGATGTGGCTGTTCTTCATCTTTTTTAAACTTGAAAAGGGGTTGTCCTGTGATAATTTGTCCAACATTTTCATAAGCTTGTTTCTTAGGGGTTGAATGGAAGATTGAAAATATTAGTTTTCTGTGTGCAGTGCCATTGTTGATTAGTGTTATCAAGCATCTTCACTTTGTAAATCATTTTCAGTCGCCTTGTTATTCTAAATTATGCCGTGTAAGAAATTCTGCTGAGACCCTGTATGAATCTTTTGGTCATTCCATTAACAGGTTCTGGGAACACCCACAAGAGAGGAGATTAAATGCATGAATCCAAACTACACGGAATTTAAGTTTCCTCAGATAAAGCCACATCCATGGCACAAGGTCTGTCCACATCCTGACAGTGATGTTCCCTTTGATGTTTCATCAATATGTTCTCAAGAGTGCTAATGTTTAGTAGTTTATCACTTTTTCAATTAGTTCCGAGCTCTCTTCTGAAGTGAGCTCTGAACTAGCGCTTCACATCAAGGTTTTTGCCGTAGATTGTGTCTTCATGAATGTGTGTTTGAGAAGCCTAATGTGAGGATTGTTGGAGTGGAATGTTCATGCTTCCAGGAACTTTTACTGCATTGTTTATGGTATAGATACATTCCTGACCAGCTGACCTTTGTCATGAGTTCTCTATGTGTATTGAATCTGGTGATATTTTTTGGCATCTGGATTGTTTGATACTCGTTTTCTTTACTTTTGGCACACTGCAAATAGGATTGCATCTTGCTGAAACTAACATTTAGCTTAAATGACTTTATTTTTCATCTTTTAGGTCTTCCAAAAATGTTTGCCCCCAGAAGCAGTGGATCTTGTTTGCCGGTTTTTCCAATACTCGCCTAATTTAAGATGCACTGCTGTAAGTTAAAATTTTTGCTTGCAATCTGCCGACTGAGCCCCCATTGTTCATGCACTAATCATCAATTTTATTGTCTATTGACTTGCAGTTGGAAGCTTGTGTTCACCCTTTCTTTGATGAATTAAGAGATCCTAACACCCGACTCCCAAATGGACGTCCTCTTCCACCACTCTTCAATTTTAAACCTCAAGGTACTCCTGAGTACTTATAGAATAGTTATATTTTGCTCTAAACTTCACCTACTGCTCAATAGTCAATACTGGTCTACTTTAAGACGACCACAGGAAGACTTGGAGAATTTTGGTATTGTGGGTTTTCTGGCTCATTTCTCACTGATCTTGTTTTGTGGCAGAGCTGGAGGGCATACCTACTGAAACAGTTCGCCGTCTTATTCCAGAGCATGCTCGAAGGCAGAACCTGTTTATGGCTTTGAACTCTTCTTAGTGGATGATCTTGGCACGGTTCAGAGTCCTCAAAAACTGTTGCCAGCCACACCGCATTGCCTCGTAACGCCTGTAAAATCTTCTCCTAGTCGATTAAACGGATCATTTCTGCCTGTCTGTCTAAGTTGCAATGAATTTCTCAGTAGAATCTGGGAGATGAGTGAAATATGAATAGCGAATACAGGAATCCTCATTTTGCTGGATGAGACGAACAAGGAAAAACTAGACTCACTATTTTTTTTTATTTATTGTTAAGTTTATCACCTCAACCTGAGTGTATGTTCTAAGATTTTGGGTTTTGCTATATGCACCTGTTGATTTAATCAACACAATTTTTACCTCTAAATTTGCATCTTGGAACGTTAAACACAATTACACTCATGCACTTATATGACCGTGTTAAAATAGTCAAGTCGAGCAATCCTTCAAATTGTCTCTATCTATCAAGGTGTAATCCAAGGGAAATAGTAACATGGGATGCTTTTCATCCAAATAAATTCGGTTTTCTAGTAGGCACGTTGACACACACTTTGTTGTAGTCGAAGTAGTTTAATACTCCCTCTGTCCCAAAATTATTGTTCAGTTTGAGAATTCACTTTTAGTACAATTTGAACTAGAAATGAAAACTCAAACTGGACAATAATTATGGGACAGAGGGAGTAATTCGTAAATACAAGAAATAAGGTACAGTATATTACTACAGTAAAACCTATCTAAAATAATAGTCTAGAGCTCAAAATTTATTAATTTATCGAGTTATTAATTTATCGATAAATTAATAATTAGTAATTTATAGAGTTTTTCAATCCTGATAGGGAATAATAAGAAAAGAAAAGTCGATTATAAACATGAACTTCTAACTTTATTAATACGGTATTAGGTTTCTCTTTGTGTGTCTGCAAATTTTGAACATTCAAAAAAGAAGTACTAAAGTCAACAATAACTCTTCATAATTTTTTGTTGCAGTACAACAAAGCAACGGAAAAATTGGTGTTCATACCCAAAACTTTGGGCTCATCGTCAATTCTATCCTATTAATTTTTAGTTAGTCAATTTTGTCCTTATTATTTGAAATTTTTGTCAATTTTACCTAATTGGCCCAATTTCCGTTAAACTTAACGGTTTCCGTAATTTTTAACCAAAAATACCTTGATAGTTTCAATAAATTATAAAAATAGCCATAAAAAATATAAAAATGACAAAATAGTCCCTTTTATTTATTTTTTCTATTTAATTTTATTTCTCTTTATTACTTTTCATAACCATCAAATTATATTATATGATCTTTAAAAAAAAAAATTATTTATTTTCAAAATCTATTTTTCATGTACAACACATGTTATTTGGGTTGAGGGGTAATTTTGTCATTTTAAAATTTTAAAATTTTAATTTCTTTATTTATTTTTTTGAGATTATTTTTTTTAATATTTTCTGACTTGTATATATTGATACTAAAATAATTTTTGAATTTTAATAATTAATTTACCGTTTCATTTCATAGATTATAAAAACTTTAACATAAAGAAAATGATGAAGAAAAACTTAAGTTGAAATAAACATGAAAATAATAGTTTATCATTCTTAAAAAAAGCAAAAAAAAAACCTTTAAAAATACTGGAAAGAAAAGTCATTTCTCCTTAACTTCCTCTATTTCATAGATAAGTCATGAAACATAAATTTTATTTGATCTAGCCTAAAATGCTTATTTTTTCTTTGTAACAAAAATAATACAAGTCATATAGTATAATTTAGTAATTATTTTTCTAAAAAATACATGTATTTATCTTTTTTATGAAATTCAATATAGTTTAGCAATCGCCAATCGGCAAAAAAAACAAAATTATTAAAAAATAATAAAAACAGCGTTAACCAAATTTACATAAATGCATCGTTGTGGACAAATTAAATTAGCACCTTTTCATGTTTCAAATGATTGTCTAATTTTTATATTATTTTTAATACAACAAACTAAATAATTATTTTAGGCTAGATCAAGTAAAATTTATGTTTCGTAACTCACCTATGAATTAGAGGAAGTCAAGAAGGAAAGACTTCTCTTTGCATATTTTTTTAAAAGGATTTTTTCAATTTTTTTTTTAGAATGATAAATTATTAATTTTCATGTTTATTTCAACTTGATTTTTTCTTCGTCATTTTGTTTATGTTAATTTTTTTATAATCTATAAAATGAAAAGGTAAATTAATTATTAAAATTTAATAATTATACTAGTATCAATATATACAAGTAAGGAAATATAAGAAAAATAATCTCAAAAATAACGAATAAAAAAAATTAAAAGTTTTTAAAAATTTAAAATGACAAAATTACCTCTCAACCCAAATCACATGAGTTGTACATGAAAAATAGATTTTGGAAATAAATAAGTATTTTTTTAAAGATCTTATAGTATATTTCGTGGTTATGAAAAGTAATAAAGAAAAATAAAATAAAATAGAAAAAAAGAATAAAAGAGATATTTTTTGAGTTATTTGTATAATTTATTAAAACCATAAGGGTGTTTTTGGTTAAAAACTAACGAAAATCCGTTAAGTTTAACGAAAATTGGGCCAATTGGGTAGAATTGACAAAAATTTCAAACAGTCAAGACAAAATTGGCTAACCAGAAATTAATAGGGTAGAATTAACAATGAACCCAAAGATTTGGATATGAACGCCAATTTTTCCACTAAGCGGCATCGGAATTTTTTTATTTTTATTTATTTATTTATTTATTTTTTGGGTGATAAGGAGGCTTAGCAGCCTTAATTTATATCATAACGTTTCGAGGGTAACTAATCCCAATTACATCGTGTTGAACCCATTGTTGAACTCCAACGGGAGGTTGATCAAGACAATGATAACCTGAGGCTAAAGAAGCAGCTAAATCAACTAAATAGTCAACTGTGAAGATCAAAGAGAAAGATCAAAGATGATATCTCCATATATATATAAATTTGAAGAAAAAAACAAAGATCAATAGATTCATATTTTACTAAAAAATTATTAGTTTTTTGTTTAGGTGATTATTAATTTATGAAAATGTGGGGATCTATATTTACATAAGAATTCTTGAAAATTTATTATCTTTAAATTAATCGAGTTTTTTCATTTTTTGTACCGGTCCCGAATTGGGACCGGCAAAAATTATTATTTAATGGAGGTTATAAATTTATAGAGGTTTTACAATATGGTAACTTAGTGGTTAGGTTGCTATCGTTTTTGGTAATAGACCAGGGTTCGATTCCCTCTAAAGAGTTCGTAAAGGGGTTTTATCCATATTTAAGTGAGGTCTACTGGATGGATTTTTTGATTTTTTATTTTAAAAAAGAGGTTTTACTGTATATTAGTATAATAATCTTGTAAATGTCCAAGTATATTAAAAAAGTTGTCAAATTTCTGATTATAATCAAGACAGTATCACACTAGTGTCAAACACTAAACAAATAGAATTATAACCACACTGGCACAATGTTTGATGCCCACCGGACCCGATTTATGTTAAATTGTCTTTTGGATTCAGTGAGCATTGCAGTGGTATCAGGTATGTGGAATCAGATTGAGCCGTATTGGACAATTTGGCAAATACTACTGCGGACGAACTTCTATAAATTAATAATATTAGGACTACCATAATTTATTTATTTAGAGAATTATTAAATAATCGATAACTTAATATATTAATTTATAGAATTTCTAGGAGAAAAAAACATAATCACTAAATTTCTTAATTTGCAATTGTCTTTACATCCGAAATAATCAAGTATTAAAATTCTTTTGAATACTAAAAGTCCATACATAGTTTATATCATCTTCAGAGACTAAAAAATAAGTATGAATAGTTCATATATTATTAAATATTTATAATAATAATAATTATTATTTTCTTTTAGGGTATTTATTAATTTATGATATTATTGGGACGTATAGATATATAGTAAATTTACTGAAACATTATTATCTTATCATTTTATCAATTTTGTTCACTTTTTATACTGGTCCCAAGTTAGGACCGAATAAAATTATTAATTACTAATAGTTATTAATTTATATATTATTAATTTACCGACGTTTTACTGTACTACAAAACTCGTCGTCTTCAATTCAAACGATTTTATCTCAAACGATATGGGCTTTTGATCTAGAAAACCTATCCATTCCCCATTACAGTTGTTTTTGTATCGAACTAAACAATGTGATAACTTTGAAAAGCTCAAATATGTTTACCATCCATTGTGCTTCTCAAAAGAGGTTAATAAGTGTCCCTTGCATATTTTTTAAGTGCAACGTCACCAAAAATGTACTTCTTCTGTCCCAAGATTATTATCTAATTTGAAATTTTATTTTTAGTATAATTTAAACTGTAAATGAAAACTCAAATTGGACAATATTATGAGACGGAGAGAGTAACTTTTTAATTCATTGTTATGTTAATCGTTTCAGGCTTGAAGAAAATGTATGGGAAGTTCAACATTGGAATTCACATTTTTCTTTGGTAACAAATTAATGGAGCAGATGTCATGATAATTTTACCATGATAATCAGTTAATTAAGTGATATATTCACGGATTTTTTTTCCAGCCCAAAGCAATATTCATCCTCTGATTAAATATTTTTTTTCCATTATTGTTATGATTCTATTTCTCTCTCATTTACTATTGTGTTTTATACTCCAAAATCGAGTCGACTATTTTTCTGGAACATAGAAATTAGTAGTATTTCTTAACTGAACAATGATACTAACAAAAATTTGAATAACCCATAGATAACATAATTCCTAAAAAGAAAAGTAATCCATAGATTATTTCACAATATACTACTTTTTTTAATGAGAGTGAAAGTGAAATAAAAAATATAAAACTAAATGCCGAATCAAGTGAATTAATTTTGACAGTGATACATGATTTTTTGTTTCCTCAAATGGATTGCTCGAAATATCCATGTGTTGGTAATAACTATCTTCATCCTTAACATCTGACCCTCCCAACGTTAGTAATTAAGTGATGATTTTCATAAGAATAACAATGTGCCATTGATGCCAAGGCTTTGCTTGTTTTTAAATAAGATAATATTTTCCAAATTTACCAAAACCGAAAAACAAGATATAGAAAAACCGGAAGGCGGAAACCCTGAGACTACCTCCTGCGCGGTCCTTTTTGTTCTCTATTCTGGTTTTTGGCCTATATATTCTCTTCATTCAGCATTTTCTGCTCCTCCTTTCTTTCCCCGTCTTTTCTACTCTATATTTAGATTTTTACTTCAAAAGGTATTTTGGAGGCAAAAAAAGCTGTAAAATTTATGGCATGTATTACACAAAGCGTTGGAACCGCTGCAAATTTTCTGGGCAGCCGTAAGTGTCATTCATCGTGTCATTCATCGAAATTGTCCTCGGCCAACCAGACCCGTTGCTTTGGCCTGAAACCCATTAGCTGGGATAGCTTGAAAGTCGAATTTCATGGCGATTCTCGCCGCCCTTTGATTAATTACGGAGCATTCACTTCCGCCATAGTCAGTAGTTTGTCATCTGTCAATGGTGCTGCCACTTCTGGTAAGAATTCTAATCCTCTCCTCTCAGTTTATGGGGATACATTTGTTATGATAAGCGACAGAAATTAGCATTCTTGTCTTCAATGTTCAAGTTTAATTTGGTTGAGAAAGGCTTCAAGATTAATTTTTCTGTCAGCTTCCTCATTCGGAATTATATGGTTTTCTCTATTCTAGGGGACAAAGGTGATTCTATTGCAAAAATAAAAGATAATAACTTTGTGGCTTTGGGGGCTAAGAAGTTGTTCAGTAGTTTCATTGATTTATTACGGATGCCTAACAAAGGACAGAATTACTGTCAATTTTTCCTGGCTGGTTTTATTGGAAGGAATTTCGAGGCTCTTTGCTGCATTTGTTGTAGGTGTAAGTTGTTATGTAAAAGGGCTTTTTTCATCTGAGTGAAATATGGTAAAACTAGGTTTGTGTTTCTAACTGAACATGTTAAAAAACAAGGACTTCTATCTGTAGGGATGGGCTGCTTTGCAATTAACAATGTGAGATCATTGAGTTTTTCTAAGGCTGTTCGAACACTTTATGTGCCAGATACGCGTCTTATGGAGAAATTTTGTGTATAGCTGTTGAATGTCGTCTTCAACTTCATAATTTAGTGTACTTATGTGTAAAATCTTCGTGTACTTTTTGCAGATGAAAGGGTGATTGTATTGGTGATTGGAGGAGGAGGAAGGGAACATGCACTTTGTCATGCACTAAAACGAGCTCCATCTTGTGATGCTGTCTTTTGTGCCCCGGGCAATCCTGGAATTTCCAACTCTGGGGACGCAACTTGCATCTCCGACCTTGATGTCCTTGATAGTTCTGCAGTAATCTCATTTTGCCGTAATTGGGGAGTTGGACTAGTTGTTGTTGGACCAGAAGCTCCTCTTGTTGCAGGCCTTGCTAATGATCTTGTTGAAGCTGGAATCCCAACTTTTGGTCCTTCGTCAGAGGCTGCTGCTCTTGAAGGCTCCAAGAACTTTATGAAGATGATTTGTGACAAATATGGAATTCCAACAGCCAAGGTATAGGCTACTTTCGGTGCAGATGCTACATTTCCGGAAATTGGTTTCTATAGTTTTCTTATGGTTGTTCTTGCGGTTAGATTTTTCTCATGTTTGCCTTGACCTGACAGTTCAACTATATTAACAATATTTTTCCTAACTTTTTGGTTAGGAATATCTCTGAAGAGGTAGTTTTATGTGTCCATTTATCTCTGACCATTATTAATTTGACATTATAATATGGCTACTTGGTGCAGTATAAAGCATTTACGGATCCTACTGCTGCGAAAGACTATATCAAAGGCCAAGGTGCTCCCATTGTTGTTAAAGCAGATGGTCTAGCTGCTGGAAAAGGAGTTATTGTCGCCATGACCCTTGAAGAGGCATATGATGCTGTAGACTCAATGCTTGTAAAAGGTGACTTTGGGTCTGCTGGTTGTCGTGTTGTTGTTGAGGAATTTTTGGAAGGAGAAGAAGCATCTTTTTTTGCACTAGTAGATGGGGAGAACGCTATTCCATTGGAATCTGCACAGGACCATAAGCGAGTTGGGGATGGTGATACAGGGCCAAATACTGGAGGAATGGGAGCGTATTCCCCTGCGCCAGTTTTGACAAAAGAACTCCAATTCGTGGTTATGGATTCTATAATCTTACCCACAGTAAAAGGAATGGCAAATGAAGGATGTAAGTTTGTTGGGGTTTTGTATGCGGGACTCATGATTGAGAAGAAGTCTGGATTACCAAAGTTAATTGAGTATAATGTCCGCTTTGGGGATCCAGAGTGTCAGGTCAGTTTATTTAGTGCCTTTGGTATCACTTAAAATCTTAGATGCATTTTTCTTACTTCGAATAAAAGGAAGGTTCAGATATCAGAATAAAATAGTAGTGTGCAAGCCCTTGCTCGTGGTGAGTATATTTCTTGAAAAGGGGGAAATAGTCTGAACGCCACTAGATTTTGGTTTTGATTTAAGCACATTGCTACGTGGTGTCTGTTTCAACTATGGAAGCTAGTAACTGATTAGCAGGATCTTAGAATCGTGATTAACATTATGATTATAACTAGATAACAATGTTCCTTTTCTGTGCTAATGTGGTGGTTCAACGAAAATAGGATGGCTTCTGTAGTCTGGTCACTATGCTCTTGGTGGATCAGTGAGAGCATAGATTTTGTTTTTTTTGGCTTCAGTATTTGCACATCTGTGTAGAACAGTTTATGCTAATTCAGTTATCTTTTGCGCTTAACAGGTTTTGATGGTTCGTTTGGAATCTGATCTGGCACAAGTTCTGCTTGCTGCTTGCAAGGGAGAATTGAGTGGGGTATCACTAGAATGGTCCCCTGGTTCGGCAATGGTTGTAGTCATGGCAAGTAAAGGGTACCCTGGGAGCTACGAGAAGGGAAGTTTGATTCAAAATCTGGAAGACGCCGAACAAGTTGCTCCCTCAGTTAAAGTTTTCCATGCTGGAACTGCTGTAGACAGTGAGGGTAATTACATCGCCGCAGGCGGACGTGTTCTTGGGATAACTGCCAAGGGCAAGGATCTCGAAGAAGCACGAGACAGAGCATACCAAGCCATTGAGCAAATCAAATGGCCAGGAGGTTTCTACAGGAAAGATATCGGCTGGAGAGCTCTGCCTTTAAAACAGTATTCCTCTTCAGGTTGAATAGTCTGCTTTACTGCTGTTGATGTTCCAGAATTACATTGGTCAGAGCTTTGATCTGCATAATTTGGTTCCGATGCAGTTGCAAAAATAAATTAACATCCCGACGAAATGTTCATCAATGTCAAGTCATTTGTCCTTGGAAATACACAGTGATGAGCAGAGGAAAGTTGAAGTTTTGGGATTATGGATGAGTAGAATTGAGAGCTATGCCATTAGGCATTTTTATAATCTAAGTCATTCGGTCCAAGGTGTATACTTTTTGAATAGGAATCTTTCTTTTTGTCCATTTAACCAACCCAATAGATGCTTAAGGTTGCTTCTGTCATCTTAAGCAGCCAAAGTTGACACTTATGAGAAATTAGACACCTTCATTTTACTTCATTAAAATAGTCATCAAGTCTTGTAACCTTTAATTTTAATTTCTGCAAAAAAGTTGACCATTTGGCTCCACTTACAAGTTTTAAATCCAGACATTAGCAATTGACTCAAAGTTTGCTTGTCCCTAAATTCTTGCTAGATGGTCATTTTCATTTTGCAGAGAACTGATTGCAATTTTCAGCAACTTCATTTAAAGCTTTGCCGTTAAGAGTAAAGAATAAAGCTCACTTCACCCCATTGAAGAAACATAAAGAATCTGAACCTAGAAGAATAATAAAAAATTGACCATTCCATTACCAATGAAAATATAACGGGAGAGAGATCGATCGATCACTAACACCATGAATAGAAATCTACCTTACCAAATACATTTCTACAGCAAGATTATCACTGCAGGAAAATTTACCCCTAAATGTAAAATTGAACTATTGATAGTTATTCATTCCTTCCATAGTTTTCTTGTAACTTTTTCCCCCAGCAATCATTATTTTATATTAGACGACTATAATACGATAATCATATATTCTTAATCGTCACAAGAAAATTTGAATTTTATATGTTTTTATATATAAAAAGCCCTATTGGGGTTCAATATTAGAGACTGAAAAGCAGCCAGCCAATAGAAACAAACCCTTGAGCACAAAAAATGTTTATGAAATAAAAAAAGAAAAAAAAAGTATTCTAGAATGTTCCACGTGTGCTTCATACTCACCAAACCCTCAACTCCTCCCTCGTAAACCCCACCCTTTTGGCCTTCCCACATTTCTCCTTATCTTCTCCTTCACCTCAAACTTTTTTCTCCCCCCCCAACTCCTTTCTTCCGCACCCACCACGAATTCCCCGAATTAGGGTTTTTGGAATTTTGAGTTGAGTCGAAGGGCTAAACTTCTTATGGCTTCCTCAACTGCTCAAATCCATGCCCTTGGAGCTACAACTCCTCATTTCTCATCCGCCACACAAACCCTCAACAAATCATCCCCCAAAAGTGTTTTCTTCGGCCAATCTTTAAGCGCCCGGAACAGAACCTCTTTCGGGTTGAAGCTTAAGTATGCCAGGAACAACAGCAGCAGGTACAGTACCGGGCCCTTGCGGGTTGTGGCGGAGAAAGTGGTGGGTATTGACTTGGGGACCACCAATTCTGCGGTGGCGGCTATGGAAGGGGGTAAGCCTACTATTGTGACTAATGCCGAGGGACAGCGTACGACGCCGTCTGTGGTGGCGTATACCAAGAACGGAGATAGGCTCGTTGGTCAAATTGCCAAGAGGCAGGCCGTTGTGAATCCCGAGAATACTTTCTTCTCGGTGAAGAGGTTTATTGGGAGGAAAATGAACGAGGTGGATGAGGAGTCTAAGCAGGTTTCGTACCATGTCGTGAGGGATGAGAACGGTAATGTTAAGCTTGAGTGTCCTGCTATCGGAAAACAGTTTGCTGCTGAAGAAATTTCTGCTCAGGTACTTATGTATTTCTTGTTTTTCTAGAATGTGGGTTCAATTGCGTCTGGTTTGTACTGGTGATGATGATTTTGTTCCGTCTGTGTTATAGGTTTTGAGGAAGCTTGTAGATGATGCATCCAAGTTTCTGAATGACAAGGTTACTAAAGCCGTTGTTACGGTTCCAGCTTATTTCAATGATTCTCAGAGGACTGCCACAAAGGATGCCGGTCGAATTGCTGGCTTAGAGGTTCTTCGTATCATTAATGAACCTACTGCAGCATCATTGGCTTATGGTTTTGAAAGGAAAAACAACGAAACCATTTTAGTTTTTGACCTTGGTGGTGGTACATTTGATGTTTCAGGTATCCCACGTTTCCTTATTGGATTTTTTTTTTTTTTTCATTTGGTAGAAATTTTGCAATGTGCGTGCTCCATCCATGCCTTTTTTTTTTCTTCATCAATATTGCTGACACTCGGTATATCTGGACTTTGAAGGTGACTGTATTGTTGTAAGATACATCTGTGTGCACCTTATATATCTCAATGCTAAACATAATGTGCTACCTTTTTGTAACATCACATTCCTGCTTGATCATCTGCTTGTTTTGGGGTTTGTAATATTCCACAATGCTTCATAGTGTCATAGGATTGCAAAATTAGATTACTTGTGAGGTGCTTTTTTGTGGGTCTTGCTAGTTTCTCGTTCAACCTTGTAAATGAGGCAGTTTGAACAAAGATGAATTTTAGTGGAAGCTTTCTTTTTGGTTTTCCTGGTTGGGGATGGTGATCGTGTTAAGTATATCTTTGAATTTTGTCTGGTTCCTTTTACTTTATACTTTCAGCTACCCTGAAACTCTATCTGAAATTGCTTTCTTTGCAGTTCTTGAAGTTGGTGATGGTGTGTTCGAAGTCCTTTCTACTTCTGGGGATACTCACCTTGGTGGTGATGACTTCGATAAGGTATGGAAGCTGATTCCAGTCTGCTCCTTATGGTGCCCCCTCTCCTAGCACAGATTGAATTATTTGATGTTTACTTGTCCGATGTGCAGGGAAATGCCTTCTCATATATTAATAACTACTTATATATCATTTTGTCTACTCTTTTCTTGCAGAGAATTGTGGATTGGCTTGCTGAAAACTTTAAGAGGGATGAGGGAATAGATCTTTTGAAGGACAAACAAGCTCTCCAGCGTCTCACTGAAACTGCTGAAAAGGCTAAAATGGAATTATCGTCTTTGACACAGACAAACATCAGGTACATGTAGTCTGGGGTTCTTATTCGCTGTTTCATCTCCTACTCTATTCAATCTCGCACTACAGTTTACTGATGATTTTTTTTTTGGGATGCTCCAGTTTGCCTTTCATTACAGCAACGGCAGATGGTCCGAAACACATAGAAACCACTCTTACCAGGGCCAAATTTGAGGAACTTTGCTCAGATTTGCTTGATAGGTGTGAAAAAGTACCTTGAGTCTGTTATCTAATTTGAACAAAGTTCTCATGTGCATCTTTCCACAATAACCTGAAATTTCCTCATTTATCCCTTTTCCCAGGCTCAAAACCCCAGTTCAGAATTCCCTGAGGGATGCGAAGCTCTCTTACAGCGACATAGATGAAGTGATCCTTGTTGGTGGTTCTACACGTATTCCTGCTGTTCAGGAAGTTGTCAAGAAATTGACCGGCAAGGATCCCAATGTAACTGTCAATCCTGATGAAGTTGTTGCCCTGGGTGCTGCTGTGCAGGTGAGCTTGGTTTTGACCTGGTGGCTTGATGGTTCCTTTTCTACCTTCATAAATTTGGCCCAAAAAAAAATACAGTATCATATATATCACCGTGAGAAGTTATTTATCATTCTCTTCATAATTGGATCTTTCATTATGATCTACTAAGTTGTATTAATTTGCTCTGTTTAGGCTGGTGTTTTGGCCGGAGATGTTAGTGACATTGTTCTTTTGGATGTTACGCCATTGTCTTTGGGGTTGGAAACTCTTGGCGGTGTCATGACAAAGATTATCACTAGGAATACTACCCTTCCTACTTCCAAATCGGAGGTTTTCTCCACAGCTGCTGATGGACAGACCAGTGTGGAAATCAATGTCCTTCAAGGTGAAAGAGAGTTTGTAAAGGACAACAAATCATTAGGTAGCTTCCGCCTAGATGGGATACCGCCTGCCCCACGTGGAGTTCCTCAAATTGAAGTTAAGTTTGACATTGATGCAAACGGTATTCTTTCTGTCACTGCCATCGATAAAGGCAGTGGCAAGAAGCAGGATATCACCATCACCGGTGCCAGCACATTACCCAGTGATGAGGTATGCTTCCCACGTGAACAACTTACTGCCTTAATTTATTTACACAACTTTCTTTCATGATTGCTTGCTTGTAGTCTGCCTAAATTATTTGTGTTGCACTCCTATTTTTGCATCTGATTTAAAAAGCTGCTTGATGGGTTTCTGTAGTGTCAATAGGGCTGTCTCTTCAGGGAAATTTGAACTGCTTAATGCTTATAGGCGTAAAATGAGCATTTTGTCATTGATTGTTAAATGTATATTATTAGGTGGAGAGAATGGTTCAAGAAGCTGAAAAGTTCTCCAAGGAAGATAAGGAAAGGAGAGATGCAATAGACACAAAGAATCAGGCAGATTCTGTTGTTTATCAGACAGAGAAGCAACTGAAGGAATTTGGTGACAAGGTTCCTGCAGAGGTGAAAGAGCAGGTTGAGGCTAAAGTCACAGAACTTAAGGATGCGATCTCGGGTGGTTCTACCCAGGCCATTAAAGATGCTATGGCTGCACTTAACCAGGAAGTAATGAAACTTGGAAGTTCAGTCTATGGCAAGCCTGGCGAGGCACCTGGTGCTGGTGCAGCACCAGGCACTGATGCTGGGCCTTCAGGCCAGGCCACTGACAAGGGAACTGATGGGGATGTCATCGATGCTGATTTCACTGATAGCAAGTGAAATGTATGGTAAAAGATAAAAAATCCCACTTTTGCACCCCGTGCCGCTCTCCCCCACCTTTTGAAGCCTTGAAAACATGTACAAAGTGAATGGTGGTTGCTGTTAGGATCTTTGGTGGAACTTGGGGGCTTGAGAAGGAAATTGTACTAGTACAAATTCCTAGAGGTTATACAGATCAGTTAGGGGGTCGATTTTGACTGCGGAATATATAGATTGTGGACTAAAGAATTTCTAAATTTATTTGTTATAGGATCTGATTGTTTCGCCATTTTATTGATGCTTGGCATCTTTTAGGTTCACATGTTTTTCTTGAGTGGTTTTGCCTTCATGTAGCTTTTCCGTTGATTATATGAATAGGTTCGTGCAAAATCATGCATTGATTCAGTCCATTGACAAGAATTATTTTGCATTTACTCTTTACAAGGAGTCAGGCAAAGTTCTTTTACCATGTACAAATGCTAACAAAACTGTACTTCGCTTTTGACTTGCAATTTGCAATTTACGCAAATGTTGTCACAAAACGTTTGTAGATTAGCATATTGCACATAATAACGGAATGAGCCAGTATTTTGAATCAAAGTGCTGAGCACTCATGTACCAGTTATCCCTATTTGAGGAAGCAAAGCGTGACTCACTTAGCAAACAGTAGTTTGACTCATTTTTCGGCTAGTCATGTCAGCAGTCCCCTCCAACTGCACTATCCCAGGGTTTACCCAACATGTGGGTGTGGCCATAGCGAGGACTAAGGGTTACCGGGCTGGGAGATAAACTACTCCCTCTATCAGCTCTTCTATCAGAACTAGGACCATAATCATCAGAGTGCATACATTTGGAGCAGCACCCACTGCCTCGACTGTGCCTAAGGCCGCCTGATTGGTACTGAGACGGAACATAGTCCATCTGGTATCTTGCACCTTCAGCTCGGCCAACTGATCTAACAGAGATGAGTCTTTCAGGTCCAGCACATTTATGTGGATCAATAGGTGGTTTGCTAGAGTAGTAGCCCTGATGAGGAGGATGCATCGCGGTCTGGTAATAATTTGGAGGATACATTTGGTGACCACATAGACTGCTTTGGTGGAGACCAGTAAGGTTGCACACACTTGGGGAGCTTTGAACTCTTTGCATATGGGTTCGGCTGTTGTGAAAGTTGCAATGGAACATGGCTTCATGTGGTGTCGCATCAGTGTTGTAGCTCTCTGGAGACCTAGGAGAAGAGCAAGCAGAGGATATCCCAAATGAAGAAGGATTATGAAAGATATTGAGAGTTGGATGATTCTTCAAGGTTACAGTTGAGGACCGAATGATGCCATTGATGGCATCAATGTAGCGTTGCTCCACGGCATGAGTTTCCACATGGTTTTCAACCACAACCGCCTTTGCAGGGAACAAGAATGATCTAAGCCTGGGAGTTCCAGCGCTTTCATACAGATCATGCTCATTAAACATGTGCCGCAAGTCTTCATCGTTTTTCACAGAAACCAGGGCATCAAGATCCTCAGGAATCAACTGATATTTGAGGACCATCTCTTCGTCAATTAAATATGTTAACTTCTTCATAAGTTCTGAAATGTTGATCCAATGCATAATTTGTCAATAGAAATTCGAAATGCTTAAAATAAAAATTCAAAAAAAAAAAAAAACCTTTTCAAATGCCATGACCAGAGACTCAAATGATGGAAATAGCAGAATTCGCAAAGCCAAATGCTAAATTGTATAGGCTATATGATTTGATTTTCACGAAATTGGGAGATCATCTATAATGCCAAATGAATCAACAGCAAGAGCCAATTGTCAGATAACAAGAAATGAGCAATTTTCCCATCCTTACGGCTTCTTCAAATACAGCTTTTCTACATATGGCATTGGTATTTTGGTCCGAAAACAGAAAAGGCCAATCTACCAAGAACCCTAAATTTCTAAAAACTAATGTGATTAAAGAGAAAACCGAAAAAATTATGTGCAATTATCATAACATCCCAAAAGACACCACCAAGGAAACCTAAGGAAGGGAAATTGCAGACCAGAAAAAAAAAATGTAGCATGACATAATGATGATGAATGGAGAACCTGAAAATTTGATATCTCTAGGGACGGAAATGACGCGGGTCTCCCCGCCGACATATTTGAGCTGGCCGTCGACCGGCCGGGGAAGAATTTTGCCGCCATGGCTGCACAAAAACTTGACCCGATTCCGGGGAGAACTTGGGGTAGACCCGGGTGCAGAAGAACTACAACTATTGGAATCCTCCACCATGATCAAACAACCTTCCGTCGACATTTTCCCAATCAAAATCGGTATTAACAAATACAAGGCCGTAACCCACAAAATCATATATATATAAAATATACTCTCTAGAAAAAAAAAAACACTATGATAAAATTGATAAAACGGTAATGACAATATCGCGTGATATTTGTACTTTTTGTACAATGTATATACAGAAAAAGGGTACAAAATGATTTTTTTTTTTAAAAAAAAAATTTTGAATCTCTGGATATAGAAATGATAGAATCAGGGATTCTCCCCTTTTTAAGTATTCTGCCTTCTATATATAAAATTACGTTATATATATATAATGTATATAATAACAGATAGAAATTCTGATGAAAGGATCAGAATCAGATGAGGTTTGACGGATATTTGCCCTTTTTCTCCTTTTTTTTTTTTTTTTACTGGTTCGTGTAAATCCAAAATGAGGTTTAGGGAACTTTTTGCCTTTATGGTTTGATGTGTAAAAATGGAATGATTCAATTTCTATTTCTTTTTGTGTTTACAACACCTGAGAGAAGTCTGAGACCACAGGTTGTTTTCTTCTCCTCTCTCTCTCTCTTGGGACCCGTGATGGATTGCTAGGAGTTAGGGTGTTAATTTGTAGCACGATTCCAAAATATTATGTCAACAGTTTACAATCCCAAAAGGAAGCATAAATCAAAATCATTCTAAAGTGTTAGATAAGAATTTTGAATATTTGGATCATTGTGGTACTAAACGGAATGTAGTAGTTTAAACGTTGTTGATGTGTAGTTGTTCCATTAAGGTTGTTGAGAATGATTTATACAAACCTGTTTGAAATTAGGACGTATACATGAAAATTACTGTATTTACTGTGATTGTCGAAATAAACCGGAGAGTCATCATAAAATTAGTTTGTATTTGCGTCAAACTCTTAGAAGTTGTTTGGTTGGTACAACTTGTGACCCATTTTATTTGAACCATTCATTTGTGCCGTAGTAGGACACATAAGGACTCAAGTCACGGGAACAAAAATTCCCTGCTCAAAGAAAGCAGGACTATCACCCTTTGGAAAAATTATTCTATACATCAAGTGTATCCCTTGTTTTAGTGTACCAACATACTCATTATCCTTTGATGTTCTCATAAGCTTCTCGAGAAAATCGGGTTATTAAATCTCAACGGTCATATACTTTTTTGCTTATTAGTTTTCTGTCCCAAAATAATTATTCAAATCAATCAAATCAATTAAGAATGAGAGAATTAAATGATTTTTTTTTCCGCCAATAATGCGCAACTCCCAGACAATTGTGCTCTTAATAGTTTCGAGCGCATCTTGCATTCACAAACTCCATGGTTCACGGGATTCTGCAATTCACACCAAGTATAGCATTTCGCCATGTTCTTCATTGATGCGAGAACCTAGATATCCCTTGAATATCCTCTTTACCATAGTGATAATCAAAATAAGGTGCCACTTCACTCGATGTATTGAAACTGTTCTTCAACAGTGAATTTGGATTACCATGCCACCTAGCCGACAGCCTTGTCAACCATTGACAATTCTTATGCTTGGACTACAATAGACCAATCAAATTAGTACTCGTGCCGTCAGTTTGCTTCCATCCAATATTATTAATCCTTAAAAGCGCCAAAAATGATGTTTTCATTTCAGATTTTTCAGTTTCACTATTTTTTTCACATCATGTGTACACTGGAGAAGAGAGGTAACATATTCATATTAACAATAACCGGCGACCATGAGCACCGGTTGAACCCGACCCTGATCGACAACATCCGGGCTGCTCTCCACCGGGTTAAGTCCGAATACAACGGGTCCTCCTCTTCCGCCCTCATTACCACGGCGCAAGGCAAGTTCTTCTCCAACGGATACGATCTCGAATGGGCCAAATCCGACCGGTCCCGGATGCTACTCATGGACTCAAAGCTCCGAAATTTGGTATCGGATCTGATCGACTTACCCATGCCCACCATCGCCGCCGTGACGGGCCACGCCTCAGCCGCCGGGTTTATCGTCGCCATGGCCCACGATTACATCTTAATGCGAAAGGATCGTGGGTTTCTGTACATGAGTGAGCTGGATATTGGGCTTATAGTCCCGGCTTGGTTTTTCGCTTTGTTGAAGTGTAAGGCGAGATCGCCGGCGGCTCGGCGGGAGGTGGTTATGAAAGCGGCTAAGATAACGGCGGAGAAGGGAATTGAGGCGGGAATTGTTGACTCGGCGCACGTTAGCGCGGAGGAGACGGTTAAAGCAGCGGTGAAATTAGGGGAAGAGCTGATGATGAGGAAATGGGACGGAGAGGTTTACCGGGACAATAGGAGAGTCGTGTTGGCGGAGGTTCTGGCGGCGCTTCCTGCCGGCGGGGAAGATGATAAACATCAAGCTGATTTGGTGGTCAAAACTTTGTCAAAGCTTTGATCTAAATGTGAATTTATTACCATTTCAAAAATTAATATAAAAACAAATTTTAATATAGTATATGTATCATTTTTATATTTAGTAACTTTATCATAATTTTTTTAACGATAATATACTTTCGTGAATCTAGTTTTAAAATAAAATTTTAAAATTAGACATTTCTTGTATTTTTTTTTTTGTGCTGTTATTTTCAGTAGGAAGAGAACAGGTAATGTGGAAGCATTGTTTATATTACCGTTCTTGTCTTTTTCATGATTTACACTCGTAATGATAATTATAAGATTGATACGAAATTTAATAATCATCTTATGACCTTCCTTAAATACTACCGGTTTCAAAACAATTATTCCTTTTAAATTTTCACTTCAAGCACGTAATATTATTTAAATTGAACAATTATTTTAAGACATGCGGAATAATAACACTATAAACTTAACCAAACGAGAGGAATAATTAGATTTTACAGCAGGTGAAAGTAAAGGAGACTTTGAAAGCAATATAAATTTATGCACATGTGGAGTTAGTCACAGCAAAAAGCAAGGAAGTTTATACTCAATTTACCGCTGAAGGTCACAGTTTCTGATGATGAAGAGGAGAATATCGTTCTATGTCAACCTGATATATGGTCTGGCTTTCCCAACTCAAGAATCAAACCTGATGATGATTCTAAGAAGTTTCTCGATCCAGTTAGGTCACAGTCACACTCTTGCTACGATTTCTGGTGATGACATTGCCATGGGACAAGCTTTGCTTGCGGAGGTGGAGGAGAAGGTACTCATTTTCATGCCGATTTCCTCTTATTTGGTTTATGTTCTTATGCTTGTGTCGCGTTTAATTGGTTCCAATCTTGTTTTATATGCTAGTGCTATCCTGGACTTCGTGTTGAAGATACAGCAAAGTTGATGTCTGAAGCTCTGAAGTCCTGTAATGGTGGGAATGGTTTACTGTCATTAGCAACAATAATCGCAGGGGTTGATGAAGAGGTATATATCTACTTTCTGAGTAACTGTCACTTCGACTTTCAAAATGTGCTGAGAGTTGAAAATATTTTGCTTCATATGTGTTAATTGTTTGATCGTCTCTGTGTAGGGCCGTAAGGTATTTCTCTTAGATGGTAAAGGCAAACTGCGTAGAGGAGTGAGATATGGTACTGGATCTGGTTCCGCGATAGCTATGGTTAATATGGACAGGTATCGTCGACTAGACACCTCGGTTAAGCGAGCCACAAAGATTGCTAAACGTGCAATTTGCAGGGCTGGGGATGAAGCTAGAGAAAGCGGCGGCTTCGCCGATGGTTACCACATTAGACGTTATGGCTGGGAGAAGGTTTTCGGTGACTTACCAATTTTAGACATGGTGAAAGCTCGATGCAACAAAATTGATGACAGGCCTTCCCCAGATCTTTAATTAATTTGATGTTCTTGTGTAGTACTTCCTCCATTCCAAAATAAGTGTCGCCCTACACTTTGCACATAGTTTAAGAAACTCTTAAATAGGGTAATAAAATTACTTGAATATCCTCAACCAACCCTATTATAAAATTATCCACCAATAGCATCAACTCTTTTGAGGGTAATTTTGGAAACTTTTGACAAAAAGTGCCTTGAAATATGAGAATGACACTTATTTTGGAATTTCTCTATTTTGCTAAAACGACACTTATTTTGGAATGGAGGAAGTATTGAGGAACTCATATTTGGACAGATTTGATGGTTGGCTGGTTTCCAACCTCTTTAATGTATTTGCTGTTGCTGTTGTATTTCATCTCTCGATCAGAGATATGGTAGACAAATTCCCGACATCAAATTATGTGTTCGCTCTGTCTAAAATGGTTTAAGCTTTTAAATTTTACACATATGCAAATTATTATTGTTACGATGAAAGCTGCAAACTGGAATTTACTGAAATACAGAATCCTTGCAACAGAGTAAATTACTTAATTGTGTGTTTGGTTACATTTTTGAAGTACCAAAAAAGGAAAAAGTGAAGCCAAATCCAGTGAGAAATTGAAACTATATGTTCCACTCTGTAGTTTTGACTTTTGAGCGACTTCATATACAGAATCTTGTAATAATATGAGCAAAAAGAAGAAAGAAAACACATTGTAATAGCAGGGAATCCACTTGGCTGAAAAAGAAAGGCAAGAAATAGGCTATCCTCTCGTTTCCAAATACTGACTTCCGTCAACAACCCGAGTCCATGGACGACGACCCGGCCGACACCGGTCAACAGCCGCAAGGAAGAGAAAGCGTAATGATGGATGAAGCTATGCATTCCACCCCAGATATCCAGACCAAAGACGATGCTACGAATTCCTCTTCTGGGGATCAGAATGCAACTACAACTCCTCTATCATATAAAGAAAGGCTTACCGGACTCAAAAAAAAACGAGCAGCCCCGCCAATCCAACGGGTTCCAGGAGATGTCATCAAAACCAAGGTCCCTATGGGGGAATTCAATTCTCTGATGAATTAGAAGCTGCTTTCAATAAGGATTGGGAACACCTAGTAGTCATTAAATTGATGGGAGAACACTTGGGTTTCACAGGTCTGGGTAAAAAGATCCAGAAAATGTGGCAACCTACAGAGGAATTTGATATAATTGATTTAAAGAATGATTTCTGGAGAATTTTGCTGTCAAATCGGGAAGATGAGGAGAGAGCCGTCCGAGGGGGACCTTGGTATCTCTCTGAAAAGTGTCTCTCAGTTCAGAAGTGGACTCCGGAATTCAGAGCCTCTACGACAAAGGTCACGAAATTAGCAACATGGATTCGCCTCCCAGGCCTCCCGATGCAATACTACCATGAAATTGCACTTTGGGAGATTGGGGATTTTTTGGGTAGAACAATCAAGATCGACGAGAACACGTCGAATGCAGGAAGGGGTAAATTTGCTAAAATAGCGGTGGAATTGGACTTGACGCAACCCCTTACTCCAAGCTTCCAGATCAAAGATAAATGGCAAGCGGTTGAATATGAAGGACTACCAAGCATCTGTTACAATTGTGGATACTTCGGCCATGGCAGCCCCAATTGCCCTGAGGAACCGAGGCAGAAAAGTTCGGTTCCACCATCGCAGGAAGGGGTAGAAGTACAAGGTAATAAGAACTTGCATGATAACGAAGGAATGGAAGGTAAGGTGGGATTAGGTCCATGGATGGTGGCTCAGAGGAGAACCAGAAGATACTTCCGATAGCCGGAGCAGGCGTCGGAACGGAGGAACCATGACGGCTACCTGAATGGCTTGCGTTTCAATGTCTTTCCAACGGACTCTGACACAACAACAGAACTCAATCAGACATCCTCTCAGAGTCCAAATTGTTCAGCTCCCAGAGCAAATGAGGCCCAACCCAAGACTTTTACCAAATCCACTAAGACGCAAGTACATCAGGCTAAAACAAGTCCAAATAAAAGTCTTAGTACAAAGGCAGTCTCACCCCAAGTCAAACAATGAGACCACTACGTTGGAACAAAGGAACATGAGCTATTCACACAAACAAGCTCAACCAAGCCCAACCCAAGTTGATAGGCCAGAACCTTCCTTTAGTAAACAAATTCCCTGTGATAAAGCTAAAAGTCAACCAAACAAATACCAGAAGAGACCTCCCGACAATTATGCAAACTTATTTACTGCTTTGGGGGATTTAACTGGGATAGACAACTATTCTTCACCGGCGGGCAGAGGGAAGAAGTGTTGCCGACCCACCCCAAGCCCAAAGGAGGAACCCCCTTCAAGTATGATTATAGATGAGATGAATACGCCAGAGGTGAGCTCCCAGGAAGCGCCGCCGGTCATCCCAGCTCGATCTGAGGACATCATCATGCCGGAGGTGCAGGACAGGGAGACTAACTTAGATAATACCATGCCGGAATCAGAGGATTCAGCCCTCCTCCGGGAGGGCCAGGTACCTTACTAAGTTTTTTAATTATCTTCATTTATATATTTTAATTTTATGACGATAATTTCATGGAACGTACAGGGTGCGAAATCTAAGAAATTTCACCCTGATCTTAAAAATTTAGTCATGCATCACCAACCAAATATTCTAATTTTACTAGAACCACGAATTAGTGGGGAAACAACTAGAAAGATTATTACTAAACTAGGCTATACTAATTGGTATATCGAAGATACTGTTGGCTTTGCAGGAGGTATTTGGATTTTGTGGTTCGAAACTGATATTGCAGTAAAGATTCTTGCATCATCCAAACAATGGGTACACTTTAGTTGGTCAGGACAGGAAAAAAGTGAATTGTGCACTGCGGTGTACGGCTCACCAGCAATGCAGCTGCGGAACTCTTTGTGGTCCGACCTTGTTGATCTGAGCAAACACATGAAGACTCCATGGGTGGTTATCGGGGATTTCAACTCGTATATGTTTGCAAGTGAAAAGGTAGGGGGGCACCTGCCAGCCAGACTAAGTGCAGGGAGTTTCATGAATTCTTGCATCGTAGTGGATTGGAGGATCTAGGTTGGGTTGGTCCAAAGTATACTTGGAAGAGGGGAGCACTTCAGGAGAGATTGGATCGGGCTTTAGGAAATGTAGAATGAAAAACGAAGTACCCGGAGAGCTTGATTCACCACTTGTGTAGAATTAAATCAGATCATCATCCAATCCAGCTTAAATTAGATGGGAATGTGGTTCCAGACAAGGAGGATAGGCCATTTAGGTTCCAAGCCTGTTGGTTAACTCATCAAACCTTCGGACCATTTATGCAAGAGGCCTGGCTGCATCAACTGGGGTTTGAAGAGGCTGAACGAGATTTTCGAGATAAATTGATGGTTTGGAATAGGAAAGTGTTTGGCGATATATTTTGGCGCAAAAAAAAGCTAATGGGAAAGCTTGACAAACTGGACAAGTTAATCGAAACCAATCCTATTTCATATCTAGAAGAAGAAAGGCGTATTGTTCAGACGGAACTCGAGGATACCCTTGTGCAGGAGGAAATCCTTTGGTTCCAGAAGTCAAGGACAAATTGGCTGCAGTTTGGCGACAAGAATTCTAGGTACTTTCATCTCAGTACGATGGCCAAAAGGAAAAAGGTAAGATACAAAAGTTGAAAAATACAGAGGGCCGTTGGATTGATGATCAAGCATTGTTAAAACGGATGGCTGTAGATTATTACAAAGCTTTATTCTCCAATGATGATAGTGGAGTCTACCCTCTAGAGTGGGAGCACAACTTTCCACAAATGAGACCCGGGAGGATGGAGCTATTGGGTAGAGGAATCTCTGATGACGAAGTCAAGAAAGCGATATTTGATATGGGAGCATACAAAGCCCCAGGACCAGATGGTTGGAGCCCAATTTTCTTCCAATCCCAGTGGAAAATAGTTGGCAGAACGGTGACAGAGTTTGTGTCGAAAGCTTTTACAGAAGGAAGAATCCCTCATCATATCAATGACACCTTACTGGTACTGATTCCCAAAACCAGTAATCCTGAAAATCTGACACAATATAGACCCAGAAGTCTCTGCAATGTGGTGTACAAAGCGATTACGAAGTTAATTGCTAATAGGGTTAAACCAGTGATAGGTGAACTTGTCAGATCAACCCAAACTAGCTTCGTTCCGGGCAGAAAACTAGCTGACAACACCATCATAGTACAAGAGGTGGTCCACTCAATGAGAATGAGGAAAGGAAAGGTGGGGTGGATGGCAATAAAGATTGACCTGGAGAAAAGCTACGACAGGCTGCGATGGGACTTCATCGAATCTTCGCTTACGGTGGCAAGGTTTCCAAATGACCTAGTGAACCTGATTGTGAACTGTATCTCATCACCCAATATGAGGGTTCTTTGGAATGGAGGTGTCACGGACAGCTTTCAACCAACAAGGAGAATTAGACAGGGAGACTCTCTATCTCCTTATCTTTTTGTTTTATGTTTGGAATTATTAGCTCATGGTATTATTTCTGCGGTTTATAAAAGAGTGTGGAAAGGAATCAGAGTGAGTAAAAATGGCCCTTTATTGTCCCACCTGTTTTTTGCCGATGACTTATTCTTGTTTTCAGAAGCATCTTTGGATCAAGTGCAGGTGATTAACAAAGTGCTAAACTCATTTTGCAGGTCCTCTGGGGAGAAAGTAAATGCCCAGAAAACCAAAGTCTACTTCTCCAAGAACACTCCACACTAATTACGTAATTCTATCTGTAATGGCTTAGGTTTCGGCATGACCAGCAATTTGGGCAAATATCTGGGCTCCCCAGTTTTACACGGAAGAGTAAATAAGTCCACTTACAAGGAGATACTAGATATGGTGCGAAAAAAACTCTCAGGATGGAAGGCGAACCAATTATCAAAGGCGGGAAGGATCACTTTAGCAAAATCAGTCCTTCAGGCAGTTCTTATGTTTCAAATGCAGTCAACTAAGCTCCCGGTATATGTGTGCGATGAGATTGATAAATTAGTGAGGGGTTTGTCTGGGGTTCTACAGCAGAAAAAGAAGAAACTTCACTTGGTAAACTGGGATACGGTATGTAATAGTAAGGAGAAAGGGGGGTTGGGACTGAGAAAAGCTCGTGAAAATAACATGGCTTTCCTAATGAAATTGGGTTGGGAAATGTTGGCGAAAAGAGATGAACTATGGGTACAAATTTTGAGGGCTAAATATTGTAAATCTTCTCAAACGGGATTGCAGTTGATAAGGAAAAAAAATGCCTCCCCAACTTGGAAGGCAATATGTGACGTATATCACTTAGTGGAGAAGAGAACCTCCTGGGCAGTGGGGAATGGAGAAACTGTTTTGTTTTGGGGGGACAATTGGGTAGAGGGTAATGCAAAACTCTCAGACCACGCAATTTCCCTTATTTCTGAAGAGGAGTACAAAAAAACGGTATTTGATTATGTGTTGGAGGATGGCAGTTGGGATTTGGCCAAATTTTCTAGGTTTCTTCCACATGAGGTAATCAGAAAGATATGCAGCCTTCCACCTCCTATGGCGGCCTTGGGACAGGACAAACCACAATGGATGTTTGGCAGGTCTGGTAAGTTCTCTGTAAAATCAGCATACTATTTGGCTATTGACGATGCTAACCTACAGGATGACAGAAGATGGAGTAAAGTATGGACATGGAAGGGGCCTCAGAGAATCAAATGCTTCCTTTGGTTGGCTTTCCATGACCGACTGGCTACAAATGAGCTATGCAGGCACAGAGGGATAAGAGAGACCGAAATGTGCAGCTGCTGCAACGGGGGAAATGAGTCAACACTACATGCTCTAAGAGATTGCAATAGTAGGAGAGCGATTTGGGAGGCCATAATTTCGGCACATCATCGACATAATTTTTTCACCTCTCCACTCAAGGATTGGCTAATCTCTAACTTAAGCTCTAAAAGCATGTCATGGAGGACCAAATTTGGAGTTACTAGTTGGCTTGTATGGACCTGGAGGAATAATAATGTTTTCAATGAAGAGGAGTGGGATGTCAATGAGGCAGTGAGGATCATTCACTACAAAACAGAGGAAATAAATTAATAGTGAAAGGATACTTAGACGAACGAGAACTGCCGCTAGTAGAGAAGAGGCATCAGGATGGAAATTACCACCCACCAATTGGGTTAAACTCAACTGCGACGGAGCTGTCTGTAGGGAAACCAAAATAGGAGTTGTAGGTGGCATTGCTCGGAATGATCAAGGGGAGTTTTTAACGGCTTTCCAGGAAAACATTGGTGTGTGCTCAGTGGAGACTGCCGAAATTACTGCTATTCGGCGAAGTCTTGAGGTAGCAAAACAACGGGGATGGTCTAGAGTCCTTGTGGAATCAGACTCCCAACCGGCGCTAGATTTAGTGTTAAATTGGGAAGAAGGGAGATTATTAGATCCTGAATTACGACGAATTCAGGAGCTTTTGGCAAATGATTGGGAAGTATGTTTTTCTCATACCTTCAACAACAACAACCTTTGTGCGGATGCATTAGCAAAAGAGGCCTTAAACTCCAATAGGAGTATATATTTTTTTGATGTAGCCCCAAGTTATCTCTCCCTGTTCTTTGAGCAGGATCTCGTAGAAAGTAGGCTATGTAATTATCAAAGGAGGTAGCCTCATGCTATGTATAATTTTAACCAAAAAGAAGAAAAAAAAAAAAAAAAAGAAAACACATTGTAATAGCTGGAAGTCACAAGTATAAAACGGAGAATAGCCCCCCTACTTCAAAAAACTAGAATAACCGGGAAAAAAATAAATAAATACATAAATTAGGGCAAAGAAGAGTTTCGGAAATCGGCGAAAAGAGGTAAATTTCTCCGCCGTTTGGAATTTCCCTTCCACTTGTTCATTATTAGTAGAAGATTGGCTTTGCTCTTCTTCTGTCCCAAAATTATTATCCAGTTTGAGATTTATGATATTTATTATTCTCTCTGTCCGAAAATTATTGTCCAGCTTGAAATTTATGATTGTCCAATTGTCCAGTTTGAGATTTATGATTGTCCAGTTTGAGATTTCACTTTTAGTACATAAATCTCAAACTGGACAATAATTTTGGGACGGAAGAAATACAAAGTATGCTTGGTTACATTACTCTCTCTCTCTCTCTATCCCACACGCCTCTCCGTCGAAGCTATCAATCTCACATTTTGCTCTCTGAAAGTCAGCTGCTGCTTGCTGAAGTACAGCAGATGTTCTTGGAACAAATTGAACTTGTTGCTTGTATTGATGAAACTCTATAGGTGCCAATTGTTGCAGACACATTTGTGCTGTCGCTTGTCTTTTGCCCCCTCAAATATAACCTTTATGTCATAGGATAATGGATAAAGCTGTAGAAAGCCAGCCTTCTCTTTTAAGATTAGTGTTTCGCGAAAAAAGAGAATTTATCAAGGGTAGGTGATCATGAAGGATTGGATCTAACCAAAAAAAACAAAGAGCCAAAGCCAATGAGAAATTGAAACTCTGTTCCACTTTGTAATTCTGTGCGACCTCATATATGCTATTTTGTAATAATAAGAGCAAGAGAATACAACTTGTACAAGCTAGAATTCTCAAGCAAATCAACCTTACAAAAATGTAACTAACCGTGCTATGTACATACGGCACAAGTAATCACTCCAAAATAAAGCTATAGTAATGCATAAACACAAGCACATAGAAAGGAGCTCTTTGAATTCGAGACACCAAGAGAACAGAAATATAAAAACTGTAGGTAGTATGGTTTTCTGTTGGGACCATTATATCATCAAAATCTGATTAAACCACTTGATAATTATCAGTCGATAGAATGGTTTTCTGGGAATATTTAGGAGCCAATCCACCTCTCTGTGGCAAAATATTGACAACCTGCGAGAAAATAAACACATCACTAAAAAATTACCAAATCGGAACTTGCACGTCAAAACAGCAAATTGCTCTAAGCAAAGCAGCGAGCATGCATGTGAGCATGTTAGCATAGACAACAAAACAAACCTTTAGGCCTCCAAATGTGTTGGTAGCAGTAAAATGCACAGACATTGGGAAGAAAACTGCTGGATCAGCTCGAGGAACCACAAACTCCAAACAGCCACTGCCAAGTTTTCATGTACCTTAGATGCCAATATTGCAAATAGCACCACACAAAAAAAAGAAAAAAAGAAAAAATAAAAGAATAGCTCACCTGCGGTTCGTGTTGTCAATGTGATCGATAGACCACTCCAAAACATAATTTCTTGAATCATACCTACAAAAAATCGACCAATTAAAATAAAAATCCTCTCGGAAGGCAGGGGCGGAGCCAAGCCCCAACGGTCATGGGGAAAAACGTGAAAGTATTTTCACCAAGTGCATAAACATGTTTCATTTGATATTTTAAAACTCTAGGTAACAGAATTCAAGGGTTTCTCCGGCCAGTATCACTGCCGATGGAATCCTACTAAATTCCTCTGATAAGTTGAACTCTTCAATTGCCCCTCAGCATTATTTTAGGCGGGGCAATTCATTGGTAATTCAAATTTCCAAAAGTAATTTGGAAACTTTGAGTTGGGTAATCTCCCCATCTCACAATAAGGTGGCTCCGCCCCTGTTGGAAGGTATTATGAGGACACATGAAATTAAGCAATAGAATCATCACTGTGATCCTTCAAAGGACAGGTGGTAAGCTCTTTTTCTAGAATAAAGAGAGATTGGATTTCCATTTTCGCAAACCAAAGACTTGTTTCCATTTTTTCAAGTGGAATTGTGAATATTATGCTTATACCAATAGAACAAGAACTTCATACACAAAATCTCAAGCAGTTAGGTTCAACCCATAGGCACTAACTCAAATTGTCCTAAAATGTTGGTGATCTGTAAGATGAGGGCAGAGAGAAGCTAAAAACCTCACCTCGATTCTCCATCAATCTGTCTGACACTAGGACCCTGACCATCCCTTAGAGTAGGAAGTGGCACAGAGATCACAACGTTTTGAAGATCAAACTGTGAAAAAGCTTCATATTCAATATTCACATAGGTCTCATTCCCGGAAACAGAAGGCCAGCAGTTTACTGAGATAAAAATGAGCTATATCAATGAACCAAAAAAACTGAGAATCACAATAAGTAATTGCAGTTCACAGTTAAATGTCTCACTTGTCAAAGGCACCAAGGACTCATCTGAACTTTGATTTCTCCACTTCAAGAGAGCGAGGCCGTTACCCGGTTGATTTACAGGAAACGCCCTGCTCGCATCCTTTGGCGCGAGAATATTTTCTTTGTTAAACAACTCCTTGTTAATATTAGGGTGTGTCTTGAAAGCAACCGATGGATTCGTTTCAACCTGAAATTTTTTTCAAACTCCTTGTTAATTATATCACAGGAGGCCAATAAATTGGGAGGTTTTAAGATTGTTTTAAGTAGAACCAAACCAACAAAGTTTTGTTATGGAAATCCTCTTTCTAAACTATCAGAGCTATTTCTCGAGCCTGGATATAAGGACGTAAAACATATCTGCTCCAGTGGTAGCAAGCACACAAACTAGAAGCGAGAGACAGAGAGAGAGAGAGAGAGAGAGAGAGAGAGAGAGAGAGAGAGAGAGAGAGAGAACCTCCACTTGGATTTGTCCATCATCTTCGTTTAGGAGTTGAAGAGACAAGGTACCCTGAACATCAAAGCTGCTGATACCACCATCCTTTTTCAGTGTTGCATTCAGTTTTTCTTCAATGATAAATGTTATTGGATCAGTCGGTGGTGCAGCAGCAGGTCTGGACAGGCCAACAGGTGGTGTGACATCCTCAACAATATTTTCACCCTCAGCTTTAAGAGATTCCAAAAACTGATTACTCCTTTGAGATTTTCCTAACTTCATGCCAGAGCCCTTAAGTGAAGCTGTAGCTAAGGCAGATGGGCGACTCGCTCCTACAAAGAGCATTTAAGTCAGAAACCATATTTACACAATAATATGGAAGTTAGTGAAAGATTTTTCAATAAGCATTTTAATTACAACCTACCGGAAGGCATGCTTATAATATCCTTAATTCTAAATATAAGTATCACACAGTAAAAAAGAACTAGTGTTTGGAAAATCACTAGTCTCCATAATCAGCCACCATCATCTATCTACAACAATAACTAATGCACAAAATTGAAAGAAATTAAAAGGAAAAAGGTTACAGTTAAACATTACTTCACCACCCAGTCACATTCCCCCGAAAAAACACAGAAAAAAAACCAACCAAACAAAACAGCACATATAATCCACAGCAAATTTAAAGAGCACTTCTCACCATCATGTTCCATATGAAAACACAAAACTGACGTAAGTTTCAATACCAATTCATCCAGTATAAGCCTAACTGACACTCAGAAAATCAATGCACCCATCCTTTCTAAATCCTTTCTTCTCTGGCATATCATCTTTCGTAAGTAAAACTGTTATAAATAGCCCAACTATTATTCTAATAAATGAAATAAACTCAAGACCTTTTGGCTCGGTAGAAAAGGAGTCAACATCAGAGCTTATTCCAAAGCCAGGGTTTATGTAACCACCACCGCCACCAGAGATACTTGAATCACTACTTCCAAACCCAGAAGATGGCACAAAGCCACCAATTCTAGTCTTTTCAATCTGCAAAAATGTGCAAAAGAAACTATTATAAGTAAACAAAAATTGACAATTAACCCAAAAAAACAAACTAAAAAATTTTACACAATACCTTGCTTTTATCAATTTCAGCAGATTTCTTCTTCATAAAATCAATGGCAGTTAGGACCTTGGTCTCTTTATTCATCTTGTGCAATTGTTCCTCAAGACTATCCATCTCACAATACTGCTTCACCTGAGCAACAGTAACATTTTCCTTGTGCCCAAGAGAGATTGCCTCATCAAAGGCAAAAATAAGCTCAAATGCCGTCATGATTCCTCCTTCGTCCAAGGAATAAGAATATTCAGGGACCTAAAAATAGTTAAGGACCTGTGTATTCTAATGTTTTCTGCTCTTTCTAACTGATAAATTATGAAAGCATGAAGGTTGACAAAATATGCATCATTTACCTCATTTAATGCAATCTTGAAACACAATGTAAAAAAGAATAAAAATCCCCCATTGAGAACAAGAAAAATAACATTAACCACTGCTTTTCACTTCTAGCATTTAATTTGATTCGGAGGCAAACAGAAAGGCAGATGGGAAATGACATTAAGATTTAAGAATAGAAATTCCAAAAGCAAGGATACAAGCTTAGAGAGCAGCCTCAGTGTCTCCAGGTCTTCAAGAATGTTGCTCTGCTTATTTGTCACAAGCAGCAAATATAGAGATTCAATTGGCTGGTAGACATAACGGACATTTTCTGTCTCAAAAAACGTGTGCTGTTTCCCAGTTCCAACCAATTTGGGGAATGCTGCAAGAAGCCCTTCAATTCTACTGCGTGGCATATGAACATATTGCCTTGACACAAGCGCTGCAGAGGAAAGATCATACTATAGGTAACTAGTGCTTTCAAATGAGAAGAAAATAACAAGCTGCGGCACCAATGTGATAAACTATATAGTGACAAGACAAATGAGATTCCCAAGTCAACATTTAAGAAAAAGGATATATGCTAAAGGTGTGTGTTGTGAAGGGAGTCTTAATGAATCTAAACAGTGAAGGCAATTGGAATGGATGAAAAAACAACTCAGCAGCGATGAGCCAACGATGAAAGGCATAAAATTCAAAATCTCTAAAAGAAATTTTTTAAGCAGCTGAAATCCATTTCAGAATTGCCCATACTTAGACCATCACACTAACAAATTACGAAATACCACCATTCCTATCTCCCATCTTAAGTAGCGGTACGCAAGTGCTTTTAACATATATTCCCATTAATAATTCCTAAAGGGTTACATCAATCACAAAATTTTGCTCCTATTGTCTTCATGCCACCATTACAGCTTCAATAAAATCAATGTGTCGATGGCAGTATGTCAAACCTTTTATTACTTAGCTTGTCAGTCAACAAGTAAAAACAAACACTGAAATAATTCTTCAGACATCATCACAGAGAGTCCTGCCACGTTCCTACTAGCATAGAATTCCAGCCTTATTATCTTCAGTCAGGTTGGTCACAATTCTAAATAATGCAGAGAACTTTTTGTGCTATGCCAATAAGTGGGGTAAAATGTCATATTTCAAGATAAGCGTCCTATAGCAAGTTGTATATTCATAAGATTATGATTCACACAATGGAAATATAAGGCTTAGCAGTGGCGTTTCTGTCAGCCTGAGATTGAATGCTTTATCGTCAAAAGAAGGAATTAACTTAGATTGTTGACAACACAAACAGAGAACACCTTTTCTCTACTGTTGCGAAAAAGGAAAAAAAAATTCATTTTGTCTACAAAGCATAGAGCAAGACAAATGAAAATGTTCATGATAATCTAAAAAATACCAAATAAAAAACATCAACAAAAGAAAGAACTCTGGATCTTACGTTTGCCTGATTTGGTGATGATGGAAGCCGACAAAACCCCCTGCACCAATGTAAAGAACAAACACAATTACCAAAAGCTCAAAGGACAGCAGACAAATCATAGCACAACCCCAGAAATTCATGATCACCAGAAAATGTTCCGTATTAAAATAATCAGCGTATCAATTACCATTTTGATCGCCTGGAATTCAAACCTTCACTGCTCACACGAACAAAAAAAAGCTGCCACTTCTTCACACCCTGAAACAGCGATCAAATCAAAACATGGCCTTAAGCAGGGAATCGAGAAAGAGAATAACGAACAATGAAAACCACGTAAGAAAACCCAGAAAAGAAAAAAACAGAGCTACTGTGGCAAAGACGTAGGCTATAACACAGCATGGCCCGAGCAGAACAGCGGAAGTATACAAAAATAAAAACCTTGTAAAGGAAATCGCGAGGAGAATTCAAATGTCAAACTGTACCAATGCAGGATTGAATCATGAAAGAAAAATCGGGATCGCCCCAAAAAAATTGAACCCTAGATATTTTCAGAGGAAAAACTTACTCGGGAAGGAAGGAAGGAAACCCGAAAATCAAGGGAATTACAGAGATATAATAAAAGCGTAATTTGCAGTTAGAAAGAAATACTAATAAAAGTTGAGAATTTATATAAACCATCTGGGAAAATGAGGCCCAAATAAAGTACAGACGGAATGTAGAAGTGGGCTTCGCAGTAAATAAAGACCATGTAAATCCATGAAAGAAGGAAGGAGTTTGGAACTTTGATTTTGACCATTGTCCTACTTCAAATCAATCTATCTTCAATCATCAATCCTCGAAAAATTGAACTTTAGTACTAAAGTTGCCATTCTTATAAGAAAGTTGGAAAGAAACAATCAGAATCTTCTTCATTGAACGGTACAGCAAATCCACATTGTTTGCATCAATCCACCAATGCCCATTAGGCCAGAGGTCAAGTTCTCGGCGTATTCCACAGGACTTACTCAGCCAAGGGGAGTTTAACAAGGAACAAATCATGCCACCAGAAGTGGGAGGATTTGTTGATTGTAATTTTCTCTGGAGTCTTGCTGCTCATATTCTTTCCAGATGATGATATAAGTCGAAGGGTGATGATTGGTTTCCTCTTTCATCAGAGAAAACGGGTAGAGCATCAGAAGAATGGAGAGTTTACACTATCAAAATCGGCCTAAACAGTGGAAAGGAGGTAGACACAGAGAAGTTGAAAGAAATTGCCAAAAACTAAAATGTCACCTTACATTTGTGTTTACTTAAATTTACGTACCTAACATACCTAACATTAACATTTCAATATTATAGTTCCAAACATATACTCCCTCCGTCCAATACATATTGTCCACTTTGCCCAAAAAATTTTGTCCCAAAATTATTGTCCAATTTAACTTTTTATGGACCAAGTTACACATTTGTCCTTAGTAAAAAACATTATCCATAAAATCTTAACCGTTAAACAATTACTTATGTAGGGGTATATCCGGTTATTTAAGGTAAAATATAATTAAGTTTGACCAAAAATAAAATCTTTCATTTTAATAAAACTGGACAATAATTATGGGACGGAAGGAGTAATGTTTTCACACTTTTTTTTTGTCTCATTTCAATATTTTGGCCACTTTTCCGTCCAGCTCGATGTTAACCAGTAGTTGACATGCCAGTATTAAGGGTATTTTCATCTTTTCATATAATTTACACTTTCATTGAAATTTAAATCATTAAAAATACTATGTAATTCACATTTAATTATTTAATCGTTAAAATATTATTAATTAATTTAAAATATTATTATAAAACTAAAATATACATTATTTAAAAAAATAGTTTTTCTATTTATTATTTATGTTGGATACAAAATAATATTAATTACGTTTCATTTTTTACTCCGTATCACTCTAAAATTTTTCCGAGCCACGGTAACTAATTCAAAATTAAATTTTTTTCTTAAAACAAAAAAAAAAGCAAACTAAATTTTTTATCCGGATTTCCACCCCACAATTTTCTTGGTTTTTTTTAAAAAAATTTTAGATTTTGAATTAATTATTATAGCGCGATAAAATTTTAGAAATGACTCAAAATTTATTGTAGCGGTCAAAGTAAAATCTTGATTTTACTTTTTCTTTTAATTTATATTTTGAATTATTTACTGTGACTCGATAAATTTTTAAACTTACTGTGAGTTGGGGTTAAAAGTGCAACGTAATTAACATTTACTTTGTACTTAAAGTAAATGGTAAAGAAAAAAATAACTTTGAAAATAATTTAATATTTTAAATTAATAAATAATATTTTATAATTAAATAATAAATGTGAATTTTTTAATATTTTTAATGATTTAAATTTTAATGGAAGTTCAACTATATGAAAAGACGAACATAACTCTGATTTCGGCATGTCAACTGCCGGTCAACATTGAGTTAGACGGAAAAGTGGTCGAATCAGTAAAATGGGACTAAAAAAGTGTGAAATCATAATGTTTGAGACTACGATATTGAAATGTTAATGTTAGGGACGTAAAATCAAGTAAGGCTAAATATAAGGGGCCATTTGGACATTTTAGTCATTACTAAATTACGGTATTTTGGAGTTTCAAAAACATAGCTTTATATGTTTTGGTCCTGCGGAAAGGAAGATGATTGTATTATTGTGCACTGAACACAACCAGTTTTTTTAGTATGTACACTGAATATGCATCAATCTCTTCATTTGCCACTTGTACGCTTTGAACAAACATTAAATTAAATTCAATATCATTTTCAAAACCTTTTATTTACTTTAGTATCGGAGGGCTAACTTGAACGTTTTTATAGGTTCAGATTTTTCATTGCAATTACTGGCAAATCGTCAATGTTAGACGTTTGTGACAATTTGTGACTTGAGATATTTCAAATTGTCGTATACATTTTAATATAACCTAGGCAGCTGAAGAAAGGTTGTGGGAATTAAGTGATCCTCACTCCTAATGATACTGTTCTTCAACTGCGAATGACCCGGACAAATAGCAGCATAATTTGCACTTCCCAGAAGACCAAATTGAGCATAAGCTATAACTAGTTAGTCGGAGTCTATATAAATTCCTCGAGGAAATTTGAATTTTCTTTTCCCTTTTGCTTGTAACTTGGCATTCACCGTCAACAATAATTACGTTACCGCTCACTAAAGTATATCTTGATAAGACAGCTGCTGTACTTTATTTTTAGATGAGGAAAATCCTCCTTGCTCATTGTGTCATTTAGATGATACCATCACTGTCAAGCATATCCAACTTCTCCTCAGTTTTGATCTACCTTTTTTTTTTGGTCTACCTGATCTGACCAATCAAATTTGTACGTTCAAGCTCTTAGCTTCTCCAAGAGAGGAGCTTTCATTTCAGTAGTTTTGTGGTACCGTTTTAATATTTCACATGAAGCACGGTTGTTTGTTTGAAAAACGTTTAGCGCCAAGCACGATTTAAGATAACAGAAAATCTCATCCTTTCTCCAATCCTTATGTAATTCTGCTGATTGCAGTACTTAAATGATATCCGTATCATTACTTTTGCATTTGATTTTACATGACACTTTCGTTACCTAGTCATAACTATTGTTCAAAGGATTCTGCAATTTTCTAAGTAATCAATTCAAGACGGAACAAATCTTCTATGACACATTTGTAGTAGTGTCAGCAAAGCATTTGCCATTCAACACTGATAAAAAAACAGAGCCCTAATTTTTATAGATGGATCCAAGTAATCTAATTCTTCGATGACAAAATGTAACATGTCCCATCTTGAATACAACTCAAAAAGTATTCATTCCAATATTTAAACTAAAGATTAAAGAGCATAAAAACAAGCACAAAAGAGCTCTGTGAGTTCGAGGACCAAAAGAATACATAAAACTGTAGTTGACCCTTCATCGGGACCATTATATCATCAAAATCTGATTAAACCACTTGGTAATTTTCTGTGGATAGTATGGTTCTCTGGGAATATTTAGGCGCCGGTCCTCCTCTCTGCGGCAAAATGTTGACAACCTGCAAGAAAATAACACATTCACTAAACAATTACCGAAACAGAACTTGCACATCAAAGGAGCAAAATGCTCTAAACAAAGCAGCCTCGATCTCACTGTAAGAATGTAAGTTTATGCAAACAAAATTGATTAATTTAGTGATCTCCTCGACACCAAACACAAACGAGTGTAGAGAAACGAAAATGCTAGGGATGTTGAAGCATTATAGCTTACAATGATATTACCCCCAGAAATCGTAAGCATCAAGATGACTTGCACAATAAACATAAACAAGAAAACAAACCTTTAGGCCACCAAATGTGCTGGTAGCAGTAAAGCGCACAGACATCGGGAAGAAAACTGATGGATCTGCTGGAGGAACCACAAACTCCATACAGCCACTGCAAAGATTTTCAAGTATATTAGATGCCAAAATGGCAATTACCATCAGAAAAGGGAGAGAAATAAATAAATCTCACCTGCGGTTGGAGTCGTCAATGAGATCTATAGACCACTCCAAAACATAATTTCTTGAATCATACCTACAAATAAAAATAGATCAGATTTGAATGATATAAAAATCCTCTTGAAAGGTGCCATATGCATACATGAAATTAAGCAATAACATTGTTGCCATGATCCCTAAAAGGACTGGCAGTAAGCTCTCTTTCTAGACAAAGACATTCCATTTCCATACATGCAAATCAAAAGAATTATTTTCACGTGAAATTGTGAAGATAGACAATATCCTTATGCCAAGAGAACAATAGCTTCATAAAAAAATCTCCAGGAGTCGAGTTCAACACACAAGGCACTAAAAATCAAATTATCCTAATATTTCTGGTAACCTGTAACACGAGGCAACGGAAAAGCTGAAAAGCTCACCTCCAATCTCCATCAATCTGTCTGACACTAGGACCCTGACCATCCCTTAGAGTAGGAAGTGGCACAGAGATCACAACGTTTTGAAGATCAAACTGTGAAAAAGCTTCATATTCAATATTCACATAGGTCTCATTCCCGGAAACAGAAGGCCAGCAGTTTACTGAGATAAAAATGAGCTATATCAATGAACCAAAAAAACTGAGAATCACAATAAGTAATTGCAGTTCACAGTAAAATGTCTCACTTGTCAAAGGCACCAAGGACTCATCCGAACTTTGCTTTCTCCACTTCAAGAGAGCGAGGCCATTACCAGGTTGATTTACAGGGAACGCCCTGCTCGCATCCTTTGGCGCAAGAATATTTTCTTTGTTAAACAACTCCTTGTTAATATTAGGGTGTGTCTTGAAAGCAACTGATGGATTCGTTTCAACCTGAAATTTTTTTCAAACTCCTTGTTAATAATATCACAGGAGGCCAATGAATTAGGAAGGTTTTGAGATTGTTTAAGTAGAACCAATAAAGTTTGTTCTAATGAAGAGGAGAACCTACAAACTTGGAAATCCTATTTTCCAAGCTGGATAAAAGAATGTCGAGCATAACTGCTCCAGTTGTAGACACATAGCAAGCATGCAAATTGGATAGAGCAGTTGTAGACACATAGCAAGCATGCAAATGAGAGAGAGAGAGAGAGAGAGAGAGAGAGAGAGAAACCTCCACTTGGATTTGTCCATCATCTTCGCTAAGGAGTTGAAGAGACAAGGTACCCTGAACGTCAAAGCTGCTGATACCACCATCCTTTTTCAGTGTTGCATTCAGTTTTTCTTCAATAGTAAATGTTATAGGATCAGTCGGTAGTGGAGCAGCGGCTCTGGACTGGCCAACAGTTGGTCTGACATCCTCAACGATATTTTCACCCTCAGCTTTGAGAGATTCCAAAAACTGATTAGTCTTTTGAGATTTTCCTAACTTCATGCCAGAGCCCTTGGGTGGAGCTGTAGCTGAGGCAGATGGACGACTCGCTCCTGCAAAGAGCATTGAAGTCAGAAACCATATTTATACAAAACATCTGGAAGTTAGTAAAAGATTTCTCAATACAAATTTTAAATACAACTTACTAGAATGCATATTTTAATATCCTTAACTCTAAATGTAACAAACAAACAGTGTAAAAGAGGTAGTGCAGGAAATTCACTAGTCTCTGTACTCAGCCAATATCATCAATATAATCAAACAACTAATACACACACATAAAAGAAATTAAATGAAAAAGGTTACAGTTGAAAAAAACTTCACCCCCCAGTCCCACCAAAAGAAAGAAACACAGGAAAAACCAAACCAAACAAAAAAGCACCTATAATCCACAGCAAATTTAAAGAGCGCTTCTCACTATCATGTTCCATATGAAAACACAAAATTGACTAAGTTTCAATACCATTTCATCCAGTGTAAGCCTACTAACACTATCAGAAAACCAATGCACATGTAATTTTTATATACTTTTTCCTCTGGCACATCAACTTTCGTAAGTAAAACTGTAATAAATAGCACAACTTATTATTCTAATAAGTGACATAAACTCATACCTTTTGGCTTCGTAGAAAAGGAGTCAACATCAGAGCTTATTCCAAAGCCAGGGTTTGCGAAACCACCACCACCACCACTAGAAATACTCGAATCACTGCTTCCAAACCCAGAAGATGGCACAAAACCACCACTTCTAGTCTTCTCAATCTGCAAAAATGCACAAAAGAAATAATTATAAGTAAACAAAAACTGACCATAAATGAGGGGAACTCAAATTACACGCCTTACCTTGCTTTTATCAATTTGACTAGCTTTCTGCTTCATGAGCTGATTGGTTTCCTCGATCTGCTTCTTCCGAAGCAGAATTTGCAATCTTTCCTCGTGACTTTCCATCTCACAATACTGCTTCACCTGAGTAACAGTAACATTTTCCTTGTGCCCAAGAGAGATTGCCTCATCAAAGGCAAAAATAAGCTCAAATGCTGTCTTGCAGATTCCTTCTTCATCCAAAGTATAAGAGTATTCAGGGACCTAAAAAATCGTTAAGGACCTGTAATCCAACTGCTCTTTCTAATTGATAAATCTGAGAACATACATTTTTCAAAAAAAGATTCCCATTGAAAACCAGGATAATAACTAAAGCACTGACTTTTACTTCTCATATGACACAGAAGCATCCAATAGACAGGCAGATAGAGAAAGGCGTCAAGATATAAAACGAAGTATTAGAAATTCATAAGAAAAGGATACAAGTTTAGAGAGCAGCCTCAGAGTCTCCAAATCTTCAAGAATGTTGCTCTGCTTATTTGTCACAAGGAGCAAATATAGAGATTCGATTGGCTGGTAGACATAACGGACATTTTCTGTCTCAACAAATGTGTGCTGTTTCCCAGTTCCAACCAATTTGGGGAATGCTGCAAGGTATCCTTCAATTCTAATGCGAGACATATCAACAAATTGCCTCGACACAAGTGCTGTAGAAGAAAGATCATACTACAGTCAACTACTAGTTTGAAATGTGAAGAAAATATCAACCAGCAGTAGCAATGTGATAAACCATGTAGTTACAAAACATGTGATGATTGTTCCCAAATCAGTAAAGAGACGACATATAATAGAGTAAGCTATCAAGGAAGTCTTCAAGGATAATAAAGAGTAGAAGCAATCACAACAGAAGGAAAATAACTCATCCAAGAGCAATATATGTTTGTCAAAGAAAAACTCTCCAAGTACAGCATTATTTTGTCTGAGAAGCTTCGAGCAAGACAGCATGAGAACCTGGATCAAAATCTAAAGAACACCAAACAGACATTAACAACAAAAGAAAGTAACAAGAATCTTACGTTTGCCAGATTTGGTGATGATGGAAGCCGCTAAAACCACCTGCATCAATGTAAAGAACAGACAATGAACAGAAGCCTTTAGGAGAACAAAAGGCAAAGCTCAAATCTTGGCACAACACCCAGAAATCCATAATCCTGATTTCGCGGGATTCACCAAAAAACAATCCACAATTACAATGTAGCAGTAACACGCTATCAATTTACCATTTTGATCGCCTGGGATTCAAACCCTCACTGCTTCAATTAAGGACCCCGAGACAAATTGCTTCCACTCTTCACGCTCTGAAACACCGATCAAATCACACAATGAACAACACAATGATAAAGAAAGAGCGCTATTTTGGCAATGTAAACACGAGGAAACAGAACACAAATTGGATCCCAGCAGTGCCGCGGAACATAACAAAACATAACATAAATTTACAAAGATGAATCAATCCAACGCAGAAATTAATCATGAAAAGATCGGATCGCCCCCAAATAAACCCTAGATCTATACAGAAATTCCTCAAATTGCAGCTCATGAAATTAATTGAATGAAGTGAAAACTCACCAGGGATAGGCAATTCGATGAAGATCAAGACAATGAAACGAGAGATCTGAAAGTGTAATTTGCAGTTGAAATATAAGTTGGGATTTATATATATATGTGTGTGAGTTTAATCGAATGAGAGTTGGGCTCGTAGTATAACCGACGCAACAACCCATGAAAGGGAGATGGATCCTTTCTTAATTACATTTTGACCCCGAAAGTTTTGATGATTGTGAAATTAGCATACTTGATAAGTGAATTTTTTCCTTAAATATATTTCCTTATATATACCTGGACAAAAATAAACATTTCAAAAATTTTGTGTACAAACTTATATGTCCCGAATTTAGAAAATCCGAATGGGGGTGAAACTTGGATTTCGGAAATCCGAACCTCAACAAACTCGGATTATAAAAATCCGACTTTGTGTTACGTAAATCCGATATTAAGTTAATGACAGAAATTAGTGTAATTAATCTAAATTCGAATTTTATAAATCCGTATTTAAGAATAAAATATTAATTTCTGGATAGAGAAAAAAATGTGTTGAAAAATTAAATTTAGAAAACCGGATCACGGTAATCCGAATATACGTAGATAAGGATTACCGAAATCCGAATCTCCTCTGTTTTCTGAAAAATGGGGACTCTCAGTTGGCTACAGACTCGAATTTCCGAAATCCGAATCCTTTACAAAAAGTCTGAGTTCGGATTTCGCAAATCCGAGTCTTTGTCAGAACTGAAAAAAAAAAAATGGGCTGGTGAAACTAAACATGTTTACAACACCAACAACAATGAAACATTGGAAAACAGAAATTTAATGGCAACAAAACAATAAACGGCATTCGATTAACAATAAAGCAAATCAAGTTTCATACCAAAATCAATACAAAAACTACTTTAAATGTGCAAAATACATCAAATGTCTCATTTTTTTCCCTTTTCCTTTATTGTGCGCATCCGGAGTGTATTTGTTTGTGCCCTGCCGAATCTTGTCTCCCCTCTTAAGATACGTGAGTATTGAACTCTGTTGTGGTTGGGACTGTTCACCAAATTGAGCCTCAGGTTAGGGTTGGGATTGGGACTCCCTCATGGTGAAATTTGACTCCCGGTTGTGGTTGCGACTGTCCATCAAACTGAGTCTCGGGTCCACCAAGGTCAAACTGAGTCTTGGGTCCACCAAGGTCAAACTGAGTCTCGGGTCCACCAGCGTCTTCAAAATGAGTCTCGACCTGGATGCGCGAGCCTCGAGAAGAATGTGCTTGATCCTCATTTTGTTGACCCTCAATTTGTTGTTGCGATGTCCGAGGGGGGATTATGACCTTCCTCTTTCTTCCTCCTCCAATCTTATCTCTCGACCACGGTTTCGCTTTTTTACCCGGCAGAGGTTGTGAGGGCAAAGATGGATCTTCATCAACCAGGATTTGGGTATCCTCCACCTCCATCTCATCATTTGCGCCCAGGGTTAAAGCAGCATGTGTTTGATTGATGATATCGTCCAAATGCTTGTCAAGTTCTTCGTCTAGGAGATTCTCATCTTCTTGTTTCTTCTCTAAACGTCTCGGTACTCACGCGAATGTTGTTCAATACTTCACCCTGAAAAGAAATTGGGACGTTAATTAAGAGAGTAAAATTTTAAAAAAATAAAAATGAAAAAAAATGAAACGAAAACATAAGAAATAATAAAAGAAATATAAAATGAACTCACATATAATTTCACGCGGCTCGAAGAAGTCTCGTATCCTTGAGGTTCATAATTACCGGGATTGGATATCAGTCTGACAGTGTTCGCCATCAACCATTCATAGTACCCCTCATATACGGAACCAGGATCTCCTTCCTCCAAATCTCGTAGCACGTACTCTTCTCTCCTATTCCAATGACGACGTACTGCAGAATGTTGGTCCACCCAATTATTGTTAGGATACCCAGACATACTGTGGACGTGATCGAGAAGGAATGCTGCGTTATCTTTAATCATAGGGCGCTTGGGAACATCTTGTATGTATCCAAATTATCTTACGAATCTGTCCGACTCGTGGGGTTCCCTAAGAGCCCAACAGAACATCCAACACCTGGTCGTCCAAATAGCTTGGCCTTGTGTACAGGAATCAGGGAGTCTATGAAGGACATGTGCATATGGTTGCCACCGAAACTGCACGAAAAGAATTCATTAGATGGTACAACCGGAACGAAAAGAAAGGGGTAATTGATCTCAAAGTAAATATAAATACTAAATTACAAGTACTTACATCTTCAACACGCAGGCTTGTTAATTGATCTCTAAAAGGTAGGGTGCTGCTCCTTGGGGCGTCGCCGTAGGTGTACCTACATTCCCACCTAAATGAACAAAGGGGTATATTTGAATTAGTGAAAAAAATGAATAAGAAACAAATAGAAATAAACATTGAGTTATTTTTAACTGAAAATACGTACCGCTGAGCTAATGGAGTGGTCTCATCAATCAAATAATCTACTCCTTTTCTTTGTGGCGTGATCCTCTCGATCCGCTCATACGCTCATATCTAGTAAATTGCAATAATAATGTTAAAACTTCAAATTATAACGTCGAAAGCGGAAAATAATTAAAACACAAAATGAAAACTAATACGTACCTGTAGAAAATATAGACACCCAGTGGTGTCGTGCATGGTGTACTGTGATGCCTCGAACAGTCCAGAGTACAAACCAGTCAGTAGTGCCGATCTCCAACTGTATCGACTATACTGATCCAAATCCTCAACCTGGGCCAAGAACTGCAGATTGATAGTGTTTTGCGTCTTGTTAGGAAACATGGCCCTTTGCTCGAATCGATGGACAGTGAAATTCTCAGGTAGTGCGCGACCTATCTCATCTTCGAAAATACCTACATTGACACATTGGCCATTTACTTGGGCTGGACGGAATCCCAAATAAGCCTCACATCGATCCCGCCATTCATCTGCAGTCCGGCTAACTGTCGTCTCGTACACCGGGTCACCATCCACCCGAATACCAAACAGGACCTCGACGTCCTGTAGCGTCACAGTCGCCTCTCCGAAATTGAAATGGAAAGTGTGGGTTTCTGGCCTCCACCATTCCACCAACGCGGTAATGAGGCCGAGATCTACTCTTTTATACCCTACTTTCATGATCCTCTCAGCCTCTCCTAATGACTTCCTTAACCTCTGGTGCTGTATTTTTGTATATCCTCCAAAAATCGCTGTCGTATCTACGGCCCTTGAGGCGTAATGTTTTAATGTCCGGTATCTTGTTCTCATAGACAGCTTGGGACCTATGCTTTGTTTGACGATATAGTATTTTATCTTGTATAGGTCTCGGGTGAAGATGTTTAGGTTCATAGTCATATTGCGAGCCCGATGCTGGCGTCACCATTTCAATCCTACACAAGGTAACCAATACTATTTCAATCCAAATATGCAAAATAATGATGCACTAACCAAATACCATATACACTCGGCCAAAAAAAACAATTCAACCAAACTATATACATTCGGCCAAATAACAAAACTACCAAACCATACACACTCGCCAAAAAATTTAACTACCAAACCATATACATTCGGCCAAATAACAAAACTACCAAACCATATACACTCGCCAAAAAATTTAACTACCAAACCATATACATTCGGCCAAATAAACAAAACTACCAAACCATATACATTCACAATTCACAATTCACACAACTATAATCCAACACAAACACTATATCAACACCACTAACATTCACAATTCACAATTCACACAACTATAATCCAACACAAACACTATATCAACACCACTAACATTCACAATTCACAATTCACACAACTATAATTCAACACAAACACTATATCAACACCACTAACATTCACAATTCACAATTCACAAAACTTAAATCTAACACAAACACTATATCAACATAAACCAACACAATTCACTAATAAATACAACACAAACCAACACAATTCACTAATCAATACAACACAATTCAAAATAAACTAAACCACAACAATACACATTAGAAAAAAAAACACATTCGGATTTCACAAAGAAAAAAATATTTGAAAAAAAATAAAGAGAGAAAAACTTACACCAAAAGGAGGGAGTCCCCGGTGGGAGAGATGGAACCGAAAGGAGTCGCCGGTGGGAAGAGAGAGTCGCCGGTGGGAGAGATGGAACCGGAAGGAGAGAGGGTTTACGGTGGGAGGAGGGAGTCGCCGGTGGGAGGGGGGAGTACCCGGAGGGAGGAGGGAGTTGCCGGAGGGCGGAGGGGGTTGCCGGAGGGGGGAGGGAGTTCTTAGGGTTTTTTAATTTTTAGAATTGGGGGAAAAATGGGAGGGGGAAGAGTTGATCAGGAATATATAATCCCGTCAAACTCGGATTTTCGAAATCCGAGTCCTTTGCAAATTCAACTGAGCTCGGATTTCGGAAATCCGAGTCTCTCCTGTTTCTCCTCAATTTGCAACTCTCAGATGGGTTTCACCAATTCGGATTTCCGAAATCCGAGTCCTTTGCAAATTGAAAAAAAAGTCTGAGCTCGGAATTCGGAAATCCGAGTCTCTCCTGTTTCTCCTCAATTTGCAACTCTCGGATGGGTTTCACTAATTCGGATTTCCGAAATCCGAGTCTTTTGAAAATTGAAAAAAAAAGTCTGAGCTTGGATTTCAGAAATCCGAATCCTTTAGAAAACCTTAAATGTGCCGAGTATTTTGCACAATCCCAAAACCTGTTATGAAAAACTACTACATATTTCATCACACTTTACAATCCGAACAATTCAATATTCACATTACAATCCGAATTTATCAATGTTCACATAAATTTATCAAATACTAAATGACTCTCAATTCCATCTGTCATTCACATGTCTTCTATCTACTCCTGGATGCGAGAACGGACAAAAATTGGCATCATGACCTAGTTGTCCACATCTCCAGCATTCTCCCCGGCTCCGGCGTCCCATGTAATCCATTTACATTCTATGTCTCCTTTTTTGTCTTCGTCCTGGTCCCGCATGCAACACAAGACGCTCATAATTTGGAATGATATTCCAATTGACCATCGGAAATTGTTCCTCATCAGGAACCGGAACAAAGCCCGTGTAATATTGTCTGCGCCACGTCGGAAGGCGCCATACACTATGGTATAGATCAATAGGCCGATCCCCTTTTCTCCGACAAACTTGGAGTGTGTGCGTACAAGGCATCCGGTACTCTTGCCACTTCCT